AATACTGTGGATGTGGAATTTGTTGAGTGTGTGTTTGTGTCTGTGTTTGTGCACTTATGTCTGGGTGTTAGAGAGGACAAGGGGAGACAGAGGCATTGTGTGTGGCCATGTTGTGCGTAGAGATTGCATCAGTGAATGTGTGTATCACGTGTGTACTGTATATGCTTCATTTAACAGTTCACTGACCCGTGGTGTTTGCGCATGTGTGCGATATGATGAGTCCCTGCTGTGAACTGGACCAAAGGAGGATGTGGTCAACTAGTTGTGGTCATGGAGCTACTTGGTCTCCTCTACAGACACTGTCATCTACACACACACACACCCACAGTGACCCTTATCTCAACACGCGGGGCTGTAGCCTCTGGGACATAAGCAAACATTGACTCAATGCAAGCCGGCACTGTCAAAGTGATATGACAAACACCGCTCGCCATCTCCTGGCAAGGACACCATCAACCGATTTACTGTTTCAAAGCTTTGCTTCCACTTGACGGACACCTAAAATGCTCTAAATGGCTCAGATATGTCCATTTAGCTCTTACCCTGGCACCGGCTTGAATGGCTTTATTTGTAGAGAGCAAAGGAAAACAAAACACATCCTCCCGTGCAGGCTCATCTCCAGAGTGTTGTGTGGTGTGATGACGCAGTTCCATTAATTTAGTCATTGTGCTGTGTGTATCGTGAATGGTTTGTAAATGTTACTCTGAAGGCAGCAAAGCGTGGTTGTTTTCCTGGAAATCAAGCCTTACTAAAACATTTGCTCAGGCATTCTAGTGTTTATGGCCGGGGGTTTTGATTTGTTATCCACTTCACCAGTGTAAAGGGTTAGACAGGCACTGTACGTATGTGAAAAAACCCAAAGCTTTCTTCATTAGCTGCTGCCCTGAATCTAGCACCATATTTCTCAGGCTGCCTCAGTGGAGGTGGCACAGCAGTCCAGATGTTATTGTGACATTCGTTCCCACGTGTTTGGGTGTCCATGGGAATGTGCAGTACCAACTGTGCCTGTAAAGTTTATGACGTCAGAACCGAAGCTTGCTCTTGATCTGAGACCTCCATGAGAGGCAATGTGTTGCAATGGCCTGGGAACAACTGACCGCAATGTGAGTGTAATACTCAGACTTATAACTCCAAATGTCCAAATAAGTTGTGGTTGACTTTGCTGTTGTGAAAACCAAATTTGCATGAGCAGGATGTGTGGTGGAGGTGATATATTCTATATGAGAAATTGGTTCATTCAGTGCATTTTCTATTATGTTATTGGTGCATTTTTACCATAGACTGAGGAGGACGCGCTCCTGGATCAAAATCCCACGTCATGTTCCTGGATCAATACTGCAGTCAGCCAATCACAGCCCTCTGACATCATCACTGTGCTGCTCCTGTACTTCTTTCAAAAATCTTTTGTGCTTCTTCAGCGCTAAGCTAGTTTTCCAAATTAGTACAATTAAACAAAATCCTCAATAGCATTGAACAAAACCCTTTTAGGCTACTGCAAGGTTTGCGAGTTAGCTTGCTAACTAAGTTGGCTATGCTAATGAGGAAACTTGCCAATAGACGCGAATATTGGCGAATTAGCTCGCTAAGCAGGTAGGCTATGCTAACAAGTAAGCTTGCCAGTATGCTAGAATGTAAGTGAGTTAGCTTGCTAACTAGGTTGGCCATGCTAATAAGCTTGCTAATAGACTTGAATGTTAGCGAGTTAGCTTGCTAAGTAGGTTGGCTATGCTAATGAGTAAACTTCCCAATAGACGAGAATATTGGCCAATTAGCTTGCTAACTAGGTTGGCTTTGCTAACAAGCTTGCTAATAGACTTGAATGTTAGTGAGTTAGCTTGCTAAGTAGGTTGGCCGTGCTAATGAGTAAACCTGCCAATAGACGAGAATATTGGTGAATTAGCTTGCTGACTATGTAGGCTATGCTAACAAGTAAGCTTTCCATTAGCATAGAATGTTAGCAAGTTAGCTTGCTAAGCAGGTAGCCTATGCTAAATATTGGGCCATTCACTTACAAAGAGTCAGGATACTATCATTTTTCAGTTGCAAATTCCTGCAGTTAACACATTCACAGGGTTTTTGTTCAATGTTACTGAGGATTTTGTTCAATTGTGTTAACTTTAATTTGGAAAACTAGCTTGGCTGTGAAGAAGCACAATGGAATTTTGACGACTTTGTCTTATTTGGCAAAATCACGTTATGCACAACAGTGATGTCACCCATTGATTTGGGAACTGATGTTTTGAAGCTTCAAGTTAGGCATTTTGGATGTCACCATCTTGTTTTTTTATGGCCAGACATGACCATATTTGGAAGAGAGGGTGGAACCGGTGGATCTGATTCACAAACTGTAGTGACACCTCACAGACAGCCTGTCACTCAAGTGGCCCTGCCCTTAAATATGTGTAACTTTAAGCCTTAATAAAATGTTAAAGGCTGAGTTACATAAAAATCCATCACACACAGCTGTTATGTATGTCGAAATTAGCTATAGAGACGAAAAGTGTTTTTGTATCATGCTGTAAACATGTTAATTTATGCTATATAGCTGTTGGGCAGTTAACATGGGGATTGACTCACTTTTGGAGCCAGCCCCAAGTGGCCATTCGAGATACTGCAGTTCCATATTAGCTTCATTTTTCAGTCCCGGAGGTTGTCGCTTAATTTTTTTTTAAACCAACTTCCGTGTTAATCATTTTACCTGTTGTGTTAATTTGATGTTACTCAAAAGAAACAAATGTATCAACAGTCAATTGCGCTACTACTAATGATTTTAGGTTTTTATTCAAGCACCATACTTAAACTCAAAGACATTACGTTTAGGTTTAGTGGGAATCACAACTTTGTCAACATCTGTTTTATTTAATAAGATAAAGTTTTCAGTCTGTTCATCTCACTTAAGCCATTTTTTTTTGCAGCAAAACGTATCTAGTGGACTTAAAAAGCAACTGATAATATTGTTCTAGTAGGCTACCTTAAGTTTAATTTGTATTTGTGATATTTATCATTTTTATAATTAAAAAAAAAAGCGAATGTTTGACATTTTTCATGAAAAATTACTTTTTAAAAATATCAAAATAGATAGAGTTACAATTATACATACACCTTTCTCGAATTTGAAAACTCTCTTTTGGACACAGCTGCACAACCTAGTCATAAACATTGCATCTACTTTTTCATCTAGACTGGACAGATAATCCATTTGCTGTGTGCACATCAGGAGCATCTTCAAATTGATTGCAAACAGGGTCGTATCTAATCTGAAAGCACTCAGCTGCAGACAGAGCATGACGTGCAGCCAAAGGCCAAGGCCAGACCCTGGAAGCAGCGGGGAGCGGGAGAGGAATGGTCATGAGGAGGATGAGTGCTGTTTCTGTCCTGCTGAGTCCTGGCTGCAGTATCAGGGGGAGATTTTGTACATTTGAACAAACAGCTGTAACAGGAAATTTGGCTATGTTCACATTTCCAAATGAATAACGAGGATTAAGGTTAGACCTCCTGGGTAGTACACCTGGCACTCTGATTGTAGTTTATTTTCAAATGTTAAATTAGTCTGATTTATTCTATTAGATGTCATAGTGGTGAGTCGTAGCACAGCAGAAACCTAAAAACTGCTTTGTGTTTGGGGTTTTTAAGAGCAGCAGAATGTTTGTAGTCGGATCATATTGTAGCTAAATCATTTCTTAGGAGAGCATCCAAACAAAATGTTGCCATGGCATTGTCCTTGAGATTGCCCATTGATTGCATCGAGACAGCCCTGTCAGTGCATATAGACTGGGTGTGCTGCAGGCCAGCAGAAGTCAGATTTTCCAGCCAGCGTGCTGTCACAGTGGGAGATGCGAAGCTGACAGTGGGGTTGAGGTCATGCTGTTGAGGGGCCAGATTGAAGCACAGCCGCTCATACTTAGCGTTGGCTTGCTGATGCTGATGCAAACTGCTGACGTCTATAAGGACAGCGCCAGATGCTGCTGATTAAAGTTCCTATTACTCACACATGGGCCGGGACAAAATAAGGGAAGACCAGAGGTACAGGCCGTACCCCTCCTCTCATTCTCATCGGCCCGTACCCCCTACATCCCTCCAAAATGTGCGGCCAACGCTAAAGCAATTATGAAAACAATCTGCAGGCTTGCAGGAGAATCGGGAGTGGAGTGGACAGGTCTGATTTCACTTTGAATGCAGAGACTTTCCTAACCTCCTGGAAAGCTGCCATCAGTTTCATGCTGTGCATTAAGATTACTTATTTCTGTCGTATCAGATTTCCATCTGCGCAAGAAAGCATTTTTAAAGTTTGAGATAAAATAACAATTCCTCAGTACTCCAAATTGAAGTATTTTGTTTAGAAAAATAACCACTCCCAGGCTCATAATGACAGTCACCAGGCAGATGCACGTTCTGGGATGAGTTTTCTCTCTTTTTTTTATGCTCGAGCTTCAAATTGATAATGACAAGCCCTGACAAACATACTAATCAGTGTACATTTGGGTTTCTTTTGGCAGCACTGAGGACAGTTTATGAGTTATCCTTTTGATGACATAAGCAGTACGTTTGTTTGTGGCATGCTTTTAGGGGGAAAAACGACTCTTTTCCCCAATGCTGTTACAGTGGCCTAAATAAAGTTGCCAGCATGAAGTCATCGCAGCGGCTCCTCCCAACAATATTGCCCTCGGGCTAGTGCTTTTTTCATGGCTGACTGACTGTTCGTAATCATCTCCCTCATGAGAATCAGAGGAGTAATTTAACACAGCTGTAATGTAAGTAAATGTCAATTACACAACCACACATTGTGCCAAAATTGTGTGTAGGAGTGTGCTGTGTGATGAAGTTGGATATATTAGCACGACAAGGATGGCCACACCCTGCTGTCAAAGCTCAACATCCATTACTGTCCAAGAGGTTCCCTTGAAAATGTCATTCTAATCTGTGCTCCTAAAGTTTTATTTATCTGGACAAGAATGTTAAAAGTAATGACTTCTCCACATTTTTTGTTTTGTTCTTCACAGGCCAGACCCAAAGGTGAAGGGCTGACACCCTACCAGGGGAAGAAGCGATGTTTTGGAGAGTACAAGTGCCCCAAGTGTAAGAGGAAGTGGATGAGTGGCAACTCCTGGGCCAACATGGGACAAGAATGTATCAAATGCCACATCAACGTCTATCCACACAAACAGGTACTTCACCCTCCAGTATGAGGTCAGCTCTCTGAGAATTCGCAGTAATGCCTTAAAGTACAAAAACATTACTCATACACATTGTTTAAGTGGTATATTGAATCATCTCAACCAAAGTTAACAGAGTCCAGACTCTGGTTGGCGTGGCTGCATATTGTCTTGAGGATATTCCAGATGGCCTCATTAAAACAGAATAAAAATCATACCACTAACAATTGCTTTTGCCCCTTTGGTAATAAACCAGCACTGAATAAACTAACTGCATTTCCTGACTGGTAAAAATTTGGGATTGTGTACGGATTGTCATCAAATCTCCTAACAAATATTCCTTCATTAACGTCTCTCAGACACAGACTAACTCTGAGGTAATTGAGGCCTACAGCTGCAGGAACTCCTCTCACATTTAATAACACCAAAAAGTGAAATCATATTAACCAAAATGCTGTGAAGTGTTTTTCTGAACAGCAAACACTCAGAGGGAATTAACATGCTGGTGAGGTGTCCGTCGGGCTTAACCTCGCAGAGTTTTCCTCGCACACTGTTGACCAAACAGATGGATCGCCTGAGAAAGAATCTGCTCTGTTTTCTTCAGCTCGAGATATATTTATCCGCGACACTTCATCTTTTAATATTTATGCTTTTCCACATTCTTCCAATTCCACTTCCTGAAATAAAGTTAGGATTAGTGCTTGAGGCCCTGCTCGTTCTCTGAATACCACGGCTGACCATGCTCTGCTTTGTTAACACTTACATAAATAAGGCAGACGAGACGCTGTAAGACAAAATTACCCTAAATGCAACATTCCCAGTCCATTATTTAGTCCAAATCTTGTGTTTATTCATTAGCATCTCCATCAGTGTGAGATCTTAACCAAGAATATTAACTATACTGCATTAAAGACTGCATTTAAAACCCTTTTGTTTTTTCCACTGGTGAGAAACCTCCCTCTTCTCTGCCTCTGTGTCTTGTGGCAAAGCTACACACAGGCAAGCAAATTCCCTGCATTTGCAATGTCACCCACTTAACATATTTCCCCCCTGTCAGCGTTTGAAATGGACCACTAACCTCCGTGTCCTCGGGTATCAAAGAGTTCAGCCTCTCAGCACGGCTCCCTCCCGCCCTGCGGATTCCCATAAATAACCTGAATATGTATTTTCCAATCTGATCCACATGCATAAAATATTTGTCCATGTAAGGTGGGAAATATATTTCTTGGACACCCAGCGCATTCGGTTTTAACCAAGGGCATAATTTCCATCGGGTATGATGGGGACATGTCCTTCTTACTCTGCAAAATTAGACTTTTGTCCCCCCAACTTTTACAGCTTCAGTTTGATTTACTCACTGATTTACTGCAGCAGGTCACACCAGCTTTTAAAACACTAACATTTCAGCGGATTCGGTTGCAGTGGGCAAGTAAAGTATCTGTGCAAATCTTGTGCAGAGTTTAACTTTGCTGAACTTTGACATGTGAATTTATGCTGTTGATTAATAGTAAGCCGTTATGACAGCACTGAGCTTTGAGAGAAGAGAGCAGTCAAAATGGAGGAAGCTAACCTAACGTGGCTTATTAGGCTTTCCTATGTTGCTCCATTCATGTTTATTTAACCCTCCTCTGTCCCAGTTATAAAGCGGAATTTATACTTGTGCGTCAGCTCTATGCAGAGCCTACGCCATCGCCTACGCACGTGGCATACGCTGTTATGAGCATTTATACTTGTGTGGTGATGTGTCCGTGGCACTCTGCAGTTACACCTCCAAAACACTAGTCGGCAGTGGGGTTTCTGTGAAGTGCTGTAAAGTTTAGTTGATTCAGAACACACATTAAACGTGGCTTTACAGCGACAATTTCAAACACAAGTTTACAGATTGGCTTCATTATAACTCGCAGCATTCACAGACAAAGCACTTGTCTTTTGCTGGATGCATTTTCCCCACAAATACAACATGCTAATGTTTTTAGCACAAGCCTATGGCATTTTACTTTGTATAAATTAGCCTGGCAGCTAGCTGACTTTTCTTCTACTCATATGAAGCCACGGACAACAGCAACATTTAACAAAGGTAACGTTAATTCAGCCCCATTACAACTCACAAGGTTCACCGACAAAACAATTGTCTTATACTAAACACGTTTTCCAAACAAATATAACATGCTAACGTTATTAGCACAAGCTTATGGCATTTTATATTGAATAAATTAGCCTAGCGACGAGCAGAGATTTCCTCTATTCATATGAAGCCAGGATAAATCACACACAAGACTTAAAATGCTTTGGGGGCTTTATTGGCTTCACAATTTATTGTTCCTTATCTGTGAAATTAAAATAAATAAAAGCTTTGTTTCCACTGAGGGAAATGGTTTCAGCTTACAAAAACAGACAGGAGGTCTGCGTCGCCGCAGCGTGAAGTTACATTTCTGGGGAGATGCAAGTCAGGCTAAGGCGTAGTCTACAGCGTAGGGTACGGTCGGTACAGCGTCTATTTGAGAAGTATAACTCACAAAAGAATGACTGTTTTCAATCAATAGCCCCTTTAGCGATAAAGCTAACAAACATGCTAATTGACAATTAAAGCTTGTTAAATGATAATTAGCTGAGAAAAGCGATTTAAAAATAAATCTGTGACGTCATCACAATGTAAAGTCTATGAGCTGAGCAGGAACTCGCAGGCGGAGCCAGTGGGAGAAATACTTATACATATGCACCAGATGGCAATTCCGTTGGGACTAAATAGGCGCCATCTTCCCATCATGTATGGAGTTGTTATTATTATACATCTATGCACAGTACAAAGAAAATAGAAATGAGCTCAAGAGCTATTTTGACTGATCAGTACTAGCATATTTCTGGCTTGCTAGTATTTAAAAACCTCTCACTAAGTTGCATCTACACATTTTTTTTGTGTGTGTGGTTAAAGAACCCTATTGTGTCCCCAACCCCCCTTAAACCAAAACTGTGCCCCCAATTCAAAGAAACCTAAAAATTCTTTCATGTAATTCCTGCTTCTCTGCCAAACAGAAATACCACATAAAGCTATACGTCATTGATAGCTGAAGGGGAACATTCCCTTTAACTTTCTCCAAATGGGAAGAACTCAGACTGCAGCTACTTGCTCAAGGACACTTCAACAGGGAAGATGCCTGCAGCACAGGGGCTTGAACCCAGCTCCTTCTTACAGCTGAGGGGACCCCATAAAATATACATCAGATTTTCCAGCGTTCCTCAAGGACCTTATGTCTTTGACATGCCGATAGTAAAGTCTCAACATTTCCTGGCAGACTCATTAGTGGACGACTGAAATATCTCCTTGTAGTGACCCATGGTAACCTGCTTTCCTTTAGTTAGACCACTTGGAATAAATAGCCGTTTTGCAAAGGAGCTCAAATAAGAAAAGAACAATAGATGGGAAATAAAATTTTCCAGACAGATTGTTAAAATAACCTCGAAACGTGCTGGCCCAGATAGATTCCCCTTCGTCCTCGATAATGATTCCAAGAAAGCCATTGCCGTAGCAGTGTGCTCATATTTCCATACGGGCCATCATGATCAAATGCACACTGGATCTTTTTCTTTAATACCAGGTTGTTAAAGTGTGCTGCAAAGTTTCCAGAGCTGATGGTGTGTTGCCATATCTCTGCAACTAATTGTGTTTAGTACACGTCTGGTCTGAAGAATATGGGCGTAATGTTGGAGGCCAAGGTAGTTAGGAGTATAGCTAAGCTGGATCTGGTGCCAAAGAAACTGCTTGCATAACTCAGAGGTTTATGTGTGCTCCTTGCTTCGCTTCAGTGTTTAATATGACTCATTATTGGTTCTCTGTTTGTATCCTCAGCGCCCCTTAGAGAAGCCGGACGGCCTGGATGTGTCTGACCAGAGTAAGGAGCACCCGCAACACCTGTGCGAGAAATGTAAAGTCCTGGGCTACTACTGCCGCCGTGTGCAATAATCATCTTTAATCAGAGAAAGAGTCAGAGAGCAACTTTTGTGTCCCAAGTCCTATTGCTCATTCTCCATCAAGGCTGTTAACTTCCTCACTTTACATCAAGGTTTCCCTCATCCCTGCCCTGCACACAGCATGGCATCCTTTCCTCCTCACGTCTTCCCCTCCTTCTCTCAGATGCCTCAAATATAGACAGTAGCTCTAATCCTTCCTGTCCCTCTTCTCAACCACCCGTGGATTTTTAATCATTATTATCATTATTTTTTCCCAATGACAGTATTGAAGATTTCATCCAGGAATGAGATGTTAACTTAGGATCAATCTCTCAAAAGTGCTCTTCATCAAAAGCAAAAACTCGCCAAAATCAGTGACTTTTTGTGCCTCATGCATCAGAAACCACATAACCCCACTGATCCAACCTGATGTTTAACAACAGCTAATCATATATCGATGAATTAGCGTCATTTGAGTCACTGACAGTATTGGTCTCAATAGATTACCTCACCTTGGGGTTTGTTGGCTTTGTGTTTACAGAGATCTGCCTTCCATTTCCCTGCCAAGTGAAGTGTGTGGTAATGTGACGAACGTTTAACCCGGGCCTCTCATGACGGTATAATGTATTCGAGGCCTTTGATGTCTTGCCGTATTTGGGTCAACAGCACATCTTATTAACTGTGAATTAACTGAGGGACAATGTGCCATACATCCCTAGCTTACATTTGGCCTATTTATTTTCTTGTTGTCTAGTGTGCAATTTGAATTTTAACTGGGACATAAAGAAATGTTTTTGTATGTTTGTATATCACATGATTGTGTAACTGCTTCCACGTGTCTTTAGAAACTACTGTAGGTTCAGTCGCTCCTCTTCTAGATTTAGTGCGTTGCTAACAGATAAGGTTTCATTCACCCTCCCTGAAGTATTTTTGTTGCCACACAAATTCTCAGTTATCTATAGTGTTAGATAGGTGTTTATGTTAGATAGGTAAGTTGTGTTAATTTTGAAATCACAAGAAGGTCAGCTGAGAAGGAAAACAGCTCTAGTTTTAGTAACAATAATCTTGCCGTCCACGCAGTTTGAGTTGAATATTCAGTTTTTCAAAGCACTTGAAAAAAAATCAACTGCTTGCCACATTTTGATTGCAATTATAAAACAGGATTTTAGAAGTTTAAGTGTTCACACGTAAAGCCCATAGACTGTTTATAAAGATGAGCGACTTCTATCCACTTCTTCCAAAATATTCCGACACTGGCGCTGCCATCTAGTACTGGTGACGTCATTTGGAGCCTGAGTCCGCACTGTAGCGATATGCAAATGTAGCCATAGTATCTACGGTCCGCCTCTATACCCATCTGACTCAATTGTGAGTCAACCCCCTTTTTATAGCATCAAATAACTAATTAAAACCAAACTTAAGGGGGATTTATACTTGTGCATCAGCTGTAAGCAGAGCCTACGCCGTTGTGAGCTTTCATACTTGTGCGGTGGTGTGTTTGTGTCACTCTGCAGTTACACCTCCAAAAAACTAGTCAGCTGTGTGCTTTCTGTGAAGTGCTGTAAAGTTTAGTTGATTCAAAACACACATTAAACATGGCTTAATAGCTACAATTTCTAACACAAGTACACAAATCAGCTTCACTATAACTCGCAGCATTCACAGACAAAGCATTTGTCTTTTGCTGGACATATTTTCCCCACAAATACAACATGCTAATGTTTTTAGCACAAGGCTATGGCATTTTACATTGTGTAAATTAGCCTAGCAGCTGGCAGACTTCTTCTGTAGCATATGAAGCCAGGGACAACAGCAACATTTAAAAAAAGTAACGTTACAAAATTCAGCTCCATTACAACTCACAATGTTCACAGACAAAACAACTGTCTTATACTAAACATGTTTTCTAAACAAATATAACATGCTAACGTTATTAGCACAAGCCTATGGCATTTTACATTGTATAAATTAGCCTAGGGACTAGCAGACTTTTTCTCCACTCATGTGAAGCCAGGATAAATCACACAAGAGACTTAAGATGCTATTTTTGTGTAGGTTTAATTGTCTTCACAATTTATTGTTTCTTATCTGTGAAATTAAAGTATATAAAAGCTTTGTTTCCACTGAGGGAAATGGTTTCTGCTCACAAAAATAGACAGGAGGCCTGCGTCACCGCAACGTGTAGTTACATTTCTGGGGAGATGCACATCAGGCTATAGCATAGGGTCTGTAGGTACGGGGATGGTTTTATGCAGAAGTATAAATCCCGCATTACTCTGCAGCCAGCCACCATGGGGCTGTCGAGATGTTTTGGCTTCACTTTTGGGGACCTGTCATGCCGTTCATCTCTATATACAGTCTATGATTAGATGTAACCACTCTGATTAGATTCCAACTTCAAATTAGTCAAATAAAAAAGCAGATTGGTTTGACAGAGAATCAAAAAGACATTTTAGTTCACATTTAAGTGCCAGTTGATGCCTGGCTGCCAAAGTGGAATCAATGAAGCTAAACAGAAACTTTCCAAGAGCTTGCACCCTTAAAAACTATGTCCAACAATCGAATGCAGTGTAAAGAGTGTCGAGAGGGAAGTGAAGTTTTGCAGAACTGCAATGATTTTCAGGTTGGTTGAGAAAAATAAGATTTGATATTGGAGGGCTGATTGTGAAGTGTTGATGCTGAAGAATTAAGGATATATAGAAAGTGATGATGAATTCAGTTTAGACTTATATTATTTTTTATGAATATAAGTGCCTACTATTATGAACCAATGTCTTTAAAGAGAGAGAAGGACACATCCTGTTTACATATATCACAGTGCATATCTGAAGCACTACAGAGGAAAGTAATGTAGTTTTGACTTATAGAAACCTGCCTTTCAAGGAACCTTAGCATAGGAATTGTGAACTATTGTATATGTACTGTATTTCTAGCCTTATAAAAGCTGGTTGACTATATATTTTATACTGTAACATACTGTATGTGCCTTAAAAAGATTTACATCATTCTGAAGTATCAGGACTAGGAGGCCGATTGAAATTGGGAAAAGTCAAGTGGGGGTAGGCCCAGAGACAGAGCCGTTTTAGTGCATGTGGTAACTGTGATGCATAGTAAGTTTAATGCAGGTTCAAGATGTGACAAAGGACAAGAAATTGATGTAGTTCCTCTATTAGTTTGAACTGGCATGGTGGGTGTTCGCTTCAACACAGTTTGCTGAGTTGGAGGCACGGGCTGAAACAGCATTTCCAGCTGGCAATAACAATCCTACTGTGGTCTGTTGTCATGGAATATCCACAAAGATGTTATTTCTTAGTCGATCATCACAACAGACTGGAGTCGCGCATGAAACTGTGGACCTCACTCTTTGTTTCTTTTATCTATTGTAGTTGTGTTTATCAAAGGAACTGTGGGTTTTGTCAAAAAATATACATGGTCGCTGGCCTCAGTGGGAGAGCTCGTAGTGGCTGATTATGGTACCTTACAGTTTTGGGAAATTTAGCTAAATTCCATCTGTGAAGTTAAAGGGGCACTCCAGAGCAGATCCACAAAGTTGGAAGGCTTGCGAGAGACACAAAAATACCTGATATCAATGTAGCAGAGGCTGAGATAACAATACCTTTATTCCCTGGTATGGCTCAAGCTTCAAATATGCTGGATCCTACCTTTCCCATAATGCAACTCAATAGCATCTTTCAGCAGACTTCCCCCACCTGATGAATGCCCCAATCTTTCAAACTCTTAATCCCCAGTTTGTAATGCAGGCTTTTTGTTAAAAATGTGTCTCCAAGACCAAGCTGAGATAAGCGTGATGACACCATTATGACATCACCAGGGTTATTTTCTAAGGCTACATCCACACTAATATGCTTTCGTTTGAAAACGCACTACTTCTGCTACATTTTTGCAGAGCGTCTACATGACTCCAGTGTTTCCGAACCCCTAACCCCCCTTTTGAAAACAACTGTAAACCTGTTATTACTGACGGAGATCATTTCTGAAATGGTGCTAGAACGCTCATGTGTATGGAAATCATTTTAATTTTAAAATCAAATTGAATTAAGCCCCTTTCACACATGCACTGCAAACCTGAAATCTTCAAGACATTACCCAAAAGAGCTGTATGCAGGGGCATGTGTCCACAGTGGGTTTTTTTAGTAGAAAAGCACTGACAGAGTGCGTCATCCCAGCGATTCATAAAAAACAAACAATATCTTGACAGTAACATTAGCTAGGTAGCTAACGTGATGCTACGTTAACAGAGGGTTGACACAGTTTACTTTAAGCTTACAAAGCTAACGATGATAAAAGAACACTCACCAGCAACATCCAGTGTCCGCCCGCCAATCTGAGGCAAAGTGCTCTGAAAAACGATACTGAGCATGGCGCTTTTTCTCTAGCATACACTTGCTCCTTATTGATTCATTTTTATTTTCTGTAACCACTTATCCTGCTGGGGGTTGTGGGGGGGCTGGAGCCTATCCCAGCTGACACTGGGCAAGAGGCAGGGTACACCCTGGACAGGTCACCAGACTATAACAGGGCTGACACATAGAGACAGACAACCATTCACACTCACATTCGCACCTATGGACAATTTAGAGTCACCAATTAACCTGAATGTCTTTGGACTGTGGGAGGAAGCCGGAGTACCCCGGAGAAAACCCACGCTGACACGGGCAGAACATGCAAACGCCATACCGAACCCCCCCCCCCCCCCACCCCCCACCCTGGATTTGAATCTGGAACCCTCTTGCTGTGAGGTGACAGTGCTAACCACTGTACCACCGTGCCACTACTCATTGAGAACAACTGGGAACAAAAATAATAAAGAAGACGCTGGCACTGAGGAAAAAAAGCCATGTTGACACAGGCCCTAAGATCACAGACGTCCAAATCAGTTGAATCAGACATTAAACAGATTTTACCCTCCCAGCTCCCTAGAACAAAATCCGTGTAACATCCAATTGAGCCCATGTGTGAATAGAGCACGTAATAGTCTGCAGAATGGGTTCATCGATGATGCTTCTATCATGAGGCTTGCACAAAACTAGAAGAAAGAAAACATACAAGGGTGAAGAAGACGGGTCATTTACGCGAAAATGGCAGCGAAAATGCATGACCAAAGAGATGACATGCTTCGTAAATTCTGTCGGTAAAGACTGAAGCCGAAATTGTCAGACAAATTAAAGAAACAGCACAAGACTCAGATATGTGACCGTGGTGTTATCCTCATCGTGTCCTGCCTCCGGCACGCTCTACCCAGGCACCAAGCCTCGCCCAAACCAAACAGAGTCTTCCCGGTAGGTGTGAATGTCTCTGACACGGACGATTTCCCTTTGTGTGAAGCATGTGTGAACGGAAAACTCTGGACAGTGTCTGGACCTGATTCTCCGGACGCTGATAGGAGAAACTGACTTTAATGTGGATGTAGCCTGAGACTTGACAAAGCTCCTCCAGAGCTACAGAAGACATAAGACAACTCGTACTCCCTGTGATGAGTAAAGTAAACCTTGCGAGTAAAACTGGTGGAGTGCTCCATTTAAAGGAAGGAATTTGCGTATCTTTATCACCAAAAGTTAGAGACCTAATATGAATGAAAGACTCTCCTTGTAGCTGGGAACAATCCATTTTTCTTACTGTTAACATCGTCTTTCTTTTTGCTCTGTGTGATGACATTAACCTAAAAAGGCCTTTACATCTATTGTCCACATCATACCGTGTGGCTGTAATGAAAGGATACCAATGATGCCTTATGAACTAACCTCATAAACAAGTAACAATGTTATTGTGATTCACCGAGTTCTGGCAGAATAAAGAGAAATCCTGTTAGAGAGTTGGATTCAGCCCAGGACATGATCTGAGGAGGCCATTTTAAATGGCAAATCAAGAGCCAATGGAAGCAGTTGATACAATACATTTGAAGAAAAAAAATCTGCCTTCAGACGTAATGTCTTGAATTTCATATACTTGACTTTTCTAGTACCTTTTCATTTCAAATTTGTTATTTTCTATGAATGAGATGTGTATTTTGGAACACTTAATAGATGTTGAAAATTTTAAAGCAATCTGCAAAACTCAAGAGTTAAATCCCTGACAAAGATAAGACTGTTGTTATGTATATATTTGATGGCCATCATTATCAAGGATAGTAGCTCTTTTAAAGTGTTATGCAATATTGAAGCTTTTTTGTGTGTGTGAAGAAGGGCCTATTGCTGAGAAATAAACAAAGCTGGGAGTTTTTTTTCTTTATGTTTTACAATAATCTGAGGGGTTTATCCTGCAGAAATATTTATGGAAAGATTTTTTACAACACTTTTTGTATAGAATATGCAACAAAGTTACACTAAGAAGGAAATATTGATGTCTACATAGAATATTATGAAATGAAAAAAAACGCTGGTACATAATTAATACCCTTTCTCAATTATAAGCCATTGTATTTTTTGTGTTTTGTTTTATGATGTTATCAGTGTTGAATAACCCACAATGTTATTCAGTTGCTATATGTAACTAATTACGAGCTGCCATTTACATCCATACAGTCGCATGTATTCATTTTGTAAACAATATTATGAAGATATGTATTGTGTTAACATGCAGAAATCTTTTTTTTTCCTCTTAATTAGTGACGGATACTCACCACTGTATAAGCACGATAAACTGTGAGATGTAGTTTGCTTAAAGCAGCAATGACAAGAAACTATTATAAGATGTTATGTTGTTATTAGTAGTTTAGGGGAGTGTATACTTTTGTCAAGAAAGAGTGTGTGACAAAGAACTATTTTAGAGTTTGCATGTGCATGTGTTTGGTTTTGGATGAAACATTATTTTGTGCAATGTATACTTATTTAAATAGTTTGCTACAGTACATATTGTTTTTAACATTATCAGCAACTTCTGATTGTTAGTAGTCCTGAAGTATTTTATTTACCGCTAGTGTAGCCTCTACGAATAATACATATTTACTGAATGTAATGTGTTAACACTTATGTGGTCATCTTGGAAAAGTTATGTTTGTATTCTTTACTGTCGATGTTTGTATTGCAATATTGCAATAATGTAATATTTGAATTGGACAGAACACAGGCGTGAGGTAGGGAAGACAATGATTTTTTTGGGGAAACAAGGACAGTCATGGTTTCGAGAGTAGACCACAGGTCTGTTTTTCATGTCCATGAAACGGCATTCCAAAATGTGCCTTATTTGTTAGTTGGGAAAACATTTTAGTGCTTTAGTGCTGTCGAGAGTTTGATGAATTAAAGTCATATTGAATTAGGAGCGCTTGGATTATGTGGTTTCATTTGTTTGGGTCCTCCGCTGAATTGTTGTTACCAGTAACTGGGAGGTGTTCGCTGTGGAGTTTGATTTCAGCCAAGAGCAACACATTGTTTTCTGAGAGCTCCCGTCCTGTAGAATATTCTGCTGCAAGTATATGTTTTCATCATCAGTGTGTCTCTGCTGCGAGCTCCAAGACTTATGCAACCCGGAGCGTATAGATTATGATAAAGAGGTTTTTTAATGGATTATTCATGGTGGTTGTGTAATGGAGAATGGAGAGGAGGGGGGGGCATGTAAAACTTGTTTTTCACTTTCCGTGAAAGTGCTGAAAGATAACAGACAAATCCAGCTGACAGGTCTTGATTTCAACACTTTGCGGACAAACTGCGGACGGGAAAACCAAAACACAGAAAAAGGACACCGGCTGACATCGGTGCTGTGTGATAAATTGAGACGTTTACAGCCGTAGAAACCAGCTTGTACCAGTTGTAAAGATGTCATTGTGTTGCATGTGTACTAAACGTTGGCCACGGCACCGCCGTCTCCCGAGCCAAGTTTCCATACACAATATTGGCCATGCATTCCAAATAACTAAAACTAAACCAGAGGGTGGGGACCCAAATTATATCACGTTTGTTACAACATCTCTTGCTCAAACACAGTGAGAGCTAAGAAGTCTCTATAGCAACAATGTAATCTGAGAATTCAAACAAACGGTGGAAGGTCAGTGCGCATATGGTTTCATTTAGGGGCAAGAGCTGCTTTTTCACGTCGCTTCATTATTTACTTTCATAAAGTATTAGCTCGATAAGCAGCACCACCCAGTCTCTGGCTCTCAGACATGTCCTGGCCTCCTTTTCTCTGTCTCTCCTCCAGACGCTCTGCCTTTCAAATAAAGAGCCAGCGAAGGAAGAGCAGCCCACATACAAGCTAAAGACATTTTCAGGTTCCTTTATGGTTCCAGCGGATTAAATCAAATGCATTCACCGTGTCCGATGAAGCTGTAGCCCGCAGTTATATCATCTGTCAGCTGCACTCATGCGATATTTCAGCTCCACTGTAGGTGGATGTCGCATGATGTCACATCCTGCTCTGATGGACAGGAAGTCGGTCGCACTGGAGAGCCGGCGTCTAAAAAAAGCAGCTGGATCACTTCCAGGAAGCTTTAAAAGCAGCAGGGTTGGTGGCACATGAGAGCAAATGTCCTGTACTGAGACCAGAGCTAGTAAAATCTGAAAACAGTCATTTTATTTGGCTGTAAATGGAAAGTAATTGCTCCATAAGAATATTTTACATAGTGGGTACCTTAGTGCTTGTACACAAAGGAGATGGCTCATGTTCAGATTTAGAAAAGCAACATCTCTTCGAAAATCATATCAACAGTAGAAATATCAGAGGGAAGAAGAGAATCACCCGAGACAGTCCCTCCCTGAAAGTGTCACTAACTCAGGATAAAAGATAGACACCAAAGTGTTGCGTGCCGAGTCATCCGACAGAAGTCCATGTGTCACCCTGAGTGTTATTTAGTCTCACCACAGTCAGTGATGACAATTTTCTTAATCACACCACCGTCATGCAAACCAAAGGATTCCATCTTGGTGACCACGTCCATACCTTCCTTCACCTGACCGAACACAACGTGTTTACCATCAAGCCTGTCAAGAGAAGAGACAGGAAGTGACCTCAGCACCTGGTAAGTGAATGTGGTGAGACTGTGAGCAGCAGAGCTGACTGCAAAGTATTTACCATTCAGTTTTCGTCGTACAGATGAAGAACTGGGAGCCGTTGGTGTTCGGACCTGAATTTGCCATTGAGAGTGTTCCTGCAGAGAGCGGACAGGCTTATGAGTAAATCAATTAAATGTGATGCAGTCAACAAGATCTTGACCTCCTTTTATCACTGACCCAGACTGGTGCATAAGAGAAGCCTGACGTGAGTCTGTGTCAAACTGGTGAAGGCCTGTTTGTCTTTTCTATAACTCAAATTGTCATAAAGCCATACTTTAAAATAAAGCACCAAGTAATCAGCATGTGGATTAAGTTGATTCAAGAAAGAAGTTATTTTGATTGGTGCATGCTGACTCGCTAAAAAGTAGGTCATTCACCTGGGGATTGCAAAATCTATACAACCAGTAGTTTGAGTGCTGCATGAAATTAGGCACTGCCATCTAGTGGAGAGAGGCAGCTACTGTTAGCCAGGGCGAGGCAGCTTTATCTATAGAGCAGGTTTCATACACCAGAGGAATTCGAAGTGCTTTACAGAGCAATAATGTATAAAACATTATAAAGGACACAGATTAACAAATAAAGAGTAAAGAGGAATAACAGAGGTGAAGGAAGTGACACACATTACATACATTACATAACAGAGCTGCAGTACAGTTACTTTTTTTCAGATTAATTTGTTGAGTTTATTATTTTTAATGACTAATCATTTAGTTTTTAAAATGACAGAAAATAGTGAGAAGTATCCTCACATTTCAGATACTGGAATCAGAGAACGCTTGGCATTTTTGCTAAATAGATTCCTGAAATCAAGAAATCAGTGTGTAGGATTTAGTGGGATAATTGAAGATTCCAACCAGCTGAAATGTCTCCTATGTGCAAAGCGTGAACTGCTGGTTAGGATTCCTTCAGTGTTCATTGTTCGGGAGGTTTTTACTGGGAGGACTTCTCCTCTTCATAACAAACGGACCAGGGGTCTCATTTCTCAACACTGCATAAGCAAAAACAAGGCCTGAAAGAGGCATACGCCACTTCTCACGCAAAAGTTGTGACCTATAAAAACAGACTTGATGGGAGAAACTTGGACCCATGCTTATGAACATTTTGGAGACAGAAAATTGGTGATGCAGATGGTGAAGTGAAGCCTAATTGCAGAAATTGGCAAATATTTTGTGGCGAACACCATTTACATACATTTTTTGTACAGATCCTATACATTGTTTAATAAATGAGACCATGGGTGATTAAAACCAGTTAAAAATACTAAATAAAGCAGTTTCACGTTCAGTGTTTCTTTGATACTGTTGGGGTCATCGCACACCTGCTAATGTGTGCTCGCCTTCTTTCTCTAAAACCTTAGGATCATGAGGTTCAGGAAGGTTTCAGTGAATAAAACTTAATAAGCAGTTTTACATGAACAATCTGTGTTTTTCTGATGCTGTCCAGCTTGTAATGAAGAGGCTGTTAAGTACAGTGGCCGACATAAAAACATGAATGGCCCTATTTAAAGCCAGGGTTTGGTGTGTCCGTTCTAGGCTACTGTAGAAACACAGCATTGCAAAATGGTGGACACCATGGAAGAACTCCCACTCCCTATGTAGATATAAACGGCTCATTCTAGGATAATGAAAACATGCTGATTCTTAATTTTAGGTGATTATACATTTAAGAAAACATACTTCTTACATTATTTTAAATTTCTGCCAGTATATCCCCCTAAATCCTACACTCTGGACCTTTAATAATTCACTGTGAAAATTGTTGATTAATTTCCTGTCAAGCTGCTATTCAATTAGTTGACTAATGATGGCCTATAATGATGGCCTAGAATGCAAAGAGAGATATAGTAATCTAAGCTGTGGAGACGTACCTGGACCAGTGTGTTTTAATTTAAAGTTTTCATCATTGAATGTCTTCCCGTATATAGACTTTCCTCCTGTGCCGTTGTGGTGGGTGAAGTCTCCCCCCTGTAAGAGAAAACACAGCACCAGACACACATGGCAACACTTTATTACACATGCACCATCTTCACTTTGAAACGTACCTGACACATGAACTCAGGTATGATCCTGTGAAACACAGAGCCCTTGAACCCAAAGCCAGCTTCACCGGTGCACAGGGCCCTGAAGTTTGCTGTGAATTTAAACCTCTTATTTATTATATAAATATTATAACAAGTGTTTAAAAGCTGGTTGTTTGAATGATGAATTAAACAGATGTAACTCTTGATATTCAGCAGCTAAGTTTAGAAAAATATACCTGCAGTCTTTGGCACCACATCTGCATTCAGCTGCAGGATAAAACAAATCAAATGCATGAATCAACACTGAGCTTTTATCTGTACATGTGTGAGTGCTGTGAGACAGGCTGCAGGTGAGCTGAAGGTCTTCAGGGAGAGGCTAATGCTAACTAGCTAGCTACCTCAATAGTGATCCTTCCCAGAGGCTCACCGTCCGCCTCGATGTCCAGGAACACCACCGGGTTCTTGGGGGGACCGGAGGACAGCAGCCTGGCGGCGGCGACCCCCGGCCCGCTGTATTTGATACGGTTTTTTATTTGTAACATGGTCGCTGCTCAGCTGACAGGGTGAGGAGAACCTGCAGGCCATGGGTGCTAGTGCTGTTTACATGTGACGTCACGGGCTGACAGTCGGAACGCGCAGTGGTGAAACAGCGACACCGCGTGGAAGGTTCCGGAACAATAAAATGATAAAATAACTATTTAGGTTGACACACAAAAAAAACCTCACACTAAGTCCACTTTATAAATGCTTTCTATTTTGTTTTGTTTTTTTAAAATGTATGGCCATTTATCATATGACCAGTTTTACTTTTACTCTCCATGTCTCCATGACAACGGAGTAATTGCATCCACTCAGGAAGTCCAGGCAATGTGATTAAAGCTTCGGAAATACCAAGTAAGTGAACCTTAAATGAGAATATTTATAATAATTCTCTTAAACTGCTGTTCCCAAGGTCAATATTGCACCTTTAACTTGATTTATGAACAAATTAAGCATTAAAATCTATAAAGAGGGGGAGGAAATGCTTTACTAAATACAAATTTCTGTCTTTAGTACATTTATATTTTGTCTACAATAATCTTGAGTAATATTTTACTAGGAAACATTTCTTTAGCATTGCCTTTCTCTATCACTCGCTGATACCTTGAGATCATGAAGTTCAGGAGGTTTTTACCAGGAGCCAAAGTATCCACAGAGGTGTCTTCCTCTTCAAATCAAACGGACAAGGTGATTGAAGCTGGTAAAAACACTGAATAGCGCAGTTTCACATTATAAACCTGTGTTTTCATAAAAATATAATGGCGTTATCTAGAGCCAGGGTTTGGTTTGTCCATTCTGGGCTACTGTAGAAACATTGCCCTGCAACATGGTGGACACTGTGGATGAACTCCCACTCCCTGTGTAGGTATAAACAGTTCATTCTAGGGTAACTAAAATGAAACAATTCTTAATATTAGGTGATTATACACTAAAGACAATATACTTATTATATTATATTCAATGTCTGCCAATATATCTCCCAAAATCCACTGAGGAAGGCCAGGAGATGTGGTTGACAGCTACTGAAATTCCAAGTGAACCGTATATGAGAATCATTCATTTAAACTGCTGTTTCCAAGGTCAATATTGCACCTTTAAGCCCAACTTTAACTTGATTTATGAACAATTTAAGTGTTAATGTCTATAAAGAATGGTTTGGCAAAGAATCCTACAGCATTAGCATTACCTTTAACTATTGTTGAACTATATGTTCTGGCGCTTTGCTGCCTCTTTTGTGTATTATTCATGTGACAGATCTTTTTCACAGCAGACATTTTGACTTGTCATAGCAAGAGAAGCACAGGTGCATTTAATCACATTAATGATGGCTGCATTCCACTTTGGGGAGGTCCTGGCATTCTGCATGCTGAGTCACTAGCTGTGTGTTCCAATATTCATACTACCATACTATATAGTATGCCAAAAAAAGATTTAGTATGTCCCATAACATAGTGTGTGAAATGCAGTATGCCAAAAAAATACCAGAATGTTCTACTCAAGTTCTAGTCAAACAGTAATAATAGGAATATAGATTGTTTAAGGGAACAAATTAATCATAAATATTACCATCAAAAATGGGACATAACTATAAAAATAACTGCCAGAGAACTGCAGATGTAATTTCACTGTCACAAATCTAGTATATTAGAATCTACAATCTGTGCAGTTATAACAACGGTAGAGCACTCCAGGTTGATCTCACTCTCTTGAGAACTTGGTAAGTGGTGTTTGTTTTATCTCCAAGGTAACAGATATAAAAGCAAAAGGGTCAGAGTTCAGGGCATCATGTTATGAGAAAGTAGTATGTCCCGGTTGAGTGCATACTGCATGCAACAGTACATACTTCTGAAGGGCAGCTGTGATTTGGGACACACGCTGTTCCAGGGTGGAACTGAGCCATCATTAATGTTGTCAGTTTCACCTGTGATTTTCCTGCTATGACAAGTCAAAGTGTCAGGTGATATTATTTATCTACTAAATTGTTAATATAATTTCACAATAAAGATAAAATGACCATGCGGATGAGGCAGTAAATCAGCTGCTACTCTTATTGGGATGACTGATAACGATGCTTGTCTCTGCCAGTCATATTTACATTTCAGGGAGTGGGTACTGAAGCGGAATATTCCATCCTGATTTGCACTGCTGTTTTCCTGCTACTCACAGTGATCAAATATATAATTTGAATAGTCATTTGACCAAAGGGGCCGTTCTGCTAAACCTTTGTGCCTTCATGTCTGTCCAGGCACAGCGTTGGTAACTGTTTGTCTGATGTTTTGTCAGCTTTATTATTCCTCTGTCCAGTTTAGCTTTGATGTTGCTTTGCTTGATTTTTAAAACTGCAAATGCATGATTCTTTTAAATATTTCTAACCACAGAGAGGTGTATTATCTTGTAGATATCAGTATTTTCAGCTGATGCTCCTAATTATTGACCATCATTAGGTGTTGCAAAGGTTGTAACCCAGAGGGAACTTTGTCATCAGTATTATTAGTGACAGTAAAGTGATCTCAGGTACTCTAAAATAAAATATGAGTAAGAAAACTTTTGTTTGTCTGGAACACTTTAACCCCTTGAAACCTGGAGCAACATCACTTTTCTTGTGCAGCTTTCAGACGCCTTTCGCAAGTATTTAAACCTTTGAACCCCGAGCACATTGGTGTGATTTCTTTCAAAAAATATGTGAAAAAAGACAAATGACAACCTTGGTAAAATATGTCCCACAAATTGGAAAAACATATAATAGTTTAAGAAAAAAAAAGACTAGGGAAAAAAAGGAAAATACACTAGCCAAAAACTATATTCATAATTCTCATTATTATAAAAGTATGTTAGAGCATTATTCTAATTTTCCAGGTCATTTCCTTTTTTTATATTATTTAATTTTTTTTAAAAACTTTTTTTATTTTATTTTTTCTAAACTTATTTTTTTAACTCTACTTCTTTCTTTTTTAATTTTTTTTTTTTTTAAATTTAATTAATTTCTTGCTAATTTTGGGGGTCATTTCTTCTTTCTTTGTTCATCGCCTTCTTCCCATGTTTTTAAAGGAAATCAAGCCAATTTGCTCTGGTTTCAAAGGGTTAAGCTACTTGGATCATTTACAACCAATCTGTGACTCACCAGTTAATCAGAAAAAGCTGATTATTTGCTACAGTAATTGAATTAATCTTCTTTCTTTCAGTATTTATTTCAGCCCAGGATAAACTTGCTGCTTTTCTACATTTCATAACGACCTTTTTACTAATAGCTTACGATTTAACAAATGATTAAAGTGGTGAAATGCAGCTTTTCACAGCGGACATTTTGATGTGGGAACACAGCACAGGTGTTACTGATAGCTAATTAACGATGCCAGCATGCACAAGGACCGTGAAACTGAAGCAGCCATAATTAATTTCATCATTTACACCTGTGTTTTCCTACTGTGACACGTCAAAATGCCCACGGTGAAAAAGGCCCGTTGGTTATTTTGTGCTATTTCAGCCTGTGAACACTATTAACATGTGTAATGATTTCAAATTATTGTAATTGTAAATTATAGTTTACTCCTGCAGGTGTTTTGTGGATTGTGTGGCACCTCTTTAATCTTTTTGCGGAATATATAATAATCTGGTTTCACTTTGTATGTCAAAAGACGCAGAAGGCCATTAATTGTGTTTCATCTGAATACATATTTATTAGATAAATATTAGGATGTCACGTCATCTAACTACATACAGATTTGCAAGACTAAAAATCACAATGTTTTTCTGACCAGTTTAGAATATGAAATGATTGTACATAGAATGTACAAAACCAAAGAGACAACTGCCACCTGTTGTGCCAATCACTTCAGATTGTACCTTTATAGCATAATATTCGCCAAATTGCATAAAAATCATCAATTTGACAAAAATGTTTTACAAACTGTAAATTTGGAAACAACCCTTAAGAGCCACCAAAAGCTCAACGTCTCCAAGTCCCAATTATACCTCAAAGGTTTTAATAATTTTGTAGCACCTTTATAAAGTACACAGGTAATAGAGAAATACACAGAAGTTTAATATTACACAAAGGAAAAATGTCTTTTTTTTCTCTCGGAGACCCCAACGTGGAGGGGCACATAAAGTATCTTCCATAAATGAACAGGCGTGGTTAGAGAGGTCTGCACAGACGCAATCAAACACAGACTCATTTTGCCAATTCAATGTCTGACAGGAGGATGCAAGCTTTACAAATTCTAAATACACTATGCACACTCCCCCTGGAGAAAATGAATACATTTCTGTTAACGTGTCTCTATTTGTCATTTACAGTATATACACGTAATCCCTTACATCCCAAACCCCGCCCCCAACCCTCTGCCACAACCTCCCCTTGTATGCAAATAGGAGCTCGTCTCCCCCAAAATCCATTTTACAATATTAATCGCATTCTCTTTTAAATCCTCAATTTCCAGCGTCTGCGATCAGACAGTACAATTTGTGTCGCTCAGATTACTAGACGTGATTTCGTGAAAGGTTGCAGTTACAGTTACACACTGTGTAGGGAAATAAAACATCCCAATGCGGCAGTGCATTGTCTTTAACAAACATAGAAACAAACACATACAACATCTGATCCTTCAACTGTGTCATATGCAGGTGATTTGATCAATTTCTGACGATCAGTAAAAGCCATATTTGGTTCTTCAAACATATTACAAATCTCAAATGGGGGGGACTCTTATCAGACAACATAAAGTATATTTTAGATTCGTTGACTGTACTGCATAAAACTGTGTAAACCAAATTATACTTTAAAAAAACACTGGACAAAAAAAATAACTTAAAACAATATAAAGTGTGATGAAAATACACAATTCCCACATTTTTGCTAGGTATGGTCATCAAAAGCTCGTTGACAGGACTCAAAACAGAGGACATTTTGCACATTCTCACTTAAATAAAGAGGACGAGGTCACTTGTTCCAAAAATATTAAATCACTTCTGGAGAAATTTGGACCTCTAAGCTGCTTAAAAATCATTTCGACAGAAATTTTTTTAAAGCTGACCAATTCTTACACATAAAAAACTTAAAACTAGCCTGCTGAGCAATTTGAATATTCCTTTTCACTGATGAAAACACACAGGGACTCGATACAAGGCCAGTGAGAGTGCATTTGGATCAATTGGATACAATATTGGACTGGTTATAAGGGATTCTGTGTGTGTTTGTGAGTGTGTGTGAGTGTGCGTATAGTCCTTAACACACATACAGTACCATGTAGTTGCCAGTAATAGATAGGTACAGTACTGTACAGTCACAAAGTATTCACAAAGGGTATATACAACAGCTCTGGAAACACTGTTGGATCATGCAGGATGTTTTTTTTCCCCAAAAAAGATGCAATTCAACAGTAACAAAATGACAAAAGGAAAGATCGGAGTAATCACACACAGACGTTTCTATATAAAACACAGTGATTTTAAAAACTTCTGTAGGATGTTGAAATCCTGCTCAGGCCCGACCCCCTTTTATAAAAACCATAGGACAACTTTGGTGATGTTTCTGATTAATGATGTGGGACAAAGATAAAACACATAAAAAAGGATGACAATTTAAAAAAGAAACTGATGAGTTTGAAATAATAAATATAAAGACGAGAGAAAATTATTTGATCAAGCATGTTTAGGCTGGACAAAGACAACAGGAGCCATTGGCACACATGCACTTGTGAACAAAATGGTGCTTAATTTGATGAGGAAGAGCGAAACATTTACAATAAATACACGAGAACGACCAGGCGGAGGAAAAGTAGAGACAGCTCTGCTTTATCTTTCTTTCATTCACTATTTTCCTTCCCTTCTCTGTCTCAAACTTTCCCTCCCCCGCTGTCTTTTACATACGCTCGCAGGCAAACCAAAGAGGACACGTAAACATACACACATGTACATATATATACACACACCGACACACTCACACACACACACACACACACACACACTACATTGCACAATGTGCGCTCGTTTCCTCTGTTGACACTCGAGGACGTTTTAGCTCGTCCTTTCAGTGCTCTGATTCTGATGAGTTCCAGTTATTCAACTGTCACACACACACACACACACACACACACACACACACACACACACTGAGGAGTCTGAGGGGAGGTCAAAGGGGCATGGCGTGTGCCAAAGTTTTGGAAGAACACATTTCAAATAGGATAAAAACACTCTTACAAGACATCTGTTGTTGTTGTTTTTTTCACAAAAGGAAAATTATAATAAAAAAACAAACAAACAAACAAACAAAGCTACAACACTTTACCTCGAGCCCACAACGGCTCCCGTCTCCTCCGTGTTGTTTACACATGATGATTATAGCTGCACAGTTTTCAGTTTAAAAGTCACAAATATCATATATGTATATATATAATATCACTTTAGTGCCCGCCAACATGGCTGTAAATGGCGTGTTTCGAGTCAGAGGCGGTGGAACTGGTGCGTGGAATCTTTACACAAGGACAAAAAGGGGAGTGCGGTGGGGAAAGAAAGGGAGCGGCGTTCCTGCGTTCTCCACTGAAATTCCCAAACAGGCGCCTCTTTACAGCTGCGCTCCCATGCCACACATCATCTCTTGATAGACTGTGTATGTGTGTGCGTGCGTGAGCATAGGAAGCTGCTTGAAGTATCGATAGGAGGTCGGTGAGGTGTCTGTGGACAGACAGTCAAACACGTCACGACTCCTGTAGGTGCAGGAGGGTTTTTTTTTAGGGGAGGTGAGGGGCTAGTTGTTCTCGAAGAGGGAGAGAAGGTCGTCGTTGCTGTTGGCGGGGAGGTCGGGAGGGTCCAGGTATGACAGTAACTCGTCTGGGTTGGCCAGCTCTGGAAGAAGCTGTGGAGAGAAGGCAGAGAGAGACCGTGAGTGGCGAAGCTGAGTGACCTGAGAACATGTTTATCTTTCTGACGCTGGGCAACTTTGAGTCATGCTCAAGTGTCTGTTGAAACCACGTAAACAAGCGTAAAGTAAAACACAAACAGAGCACACAGCAGAGAGATGAGAGCAGCTGCAGCAGACAATGTTAGCTGTTAACAGGAAGCTGAGGGTGCCCAGAGCTGGCACACTTACATCCAGGGAGGGTTCAGGCATATCCTGGGCTCCCTGACCCATCTGCCCATCTGAGGAGGGGTTAAAGTTCAGATCGCTGTGGGGGTGACTGTTCTGCCCAGGTTGCTGAGGCTGCGGCTGAGGCTGTTGCTGAGGCTGCGGCTGCGACTGGCGAGGCGGCTGCGATGGTTGCCCGCTGTGATGCAAGGGCTGCCCTGACTGGCCACTGTGATGTAAGGGCGGCCCTGATTGGCTGCCGGGGTGGGGAGACGCATGCAAGCTCTGCTGCATGGAGTTATGGGACTGATCGGGATGGGACATCTGCAGGTGCGAGAGGGGAGACAGAAAGCCAGAGAGGTGAAGAGAGAAAAAATAAGGAGGAAGACACAGAGAGTGTTAAGGAGGAAGAGGAGGAGGAGGAGGAGGAAGAGGAGGAGAGGGGTGGGGGGGGGGGGGGGGGGGGGGCGGGGGAGGAAAGAGAGGAAAAGCGAAATGAGTTCCAGCGTGAATAATATGGAACAGGCCCTCTAAATGGAAGCTGTGATCAGCAGACATGTGCAGCTGCAACATTATACGGCGACATGAGCATGTGAGCATGACTGAGCACACATGCTGGCTAGAGGCACAGGCTGCACCTTGTTCACATAACAAATCTGAGCCTCTCTTTTCAGTACGGCACAGATTGTAGAGATATTCCTCTGCATACTAATGTACATACAAATTATGCTACAGGACAAAATAAATTAGCAGAAGAGAAAAAGTCTGACCAGATTTAATCCTGATTTAAATTTAAAGGAACAGTGTGTAGGATTTAGTGGCATCTAGTGGTGAAGACGGCAAACTGCAGCCAACTGGAACTTCATGTGCTGAGCATGAACTCTCTTCAGATTCAGATTCCTTCAGTGTTCATTGTTCAGGAGATTTTACCTGGAGCTGAATTATCCGCAGAGGTCTTGTCTTCTCCAAAACAAATGGACCAGGTGATTTAAACCAGTAGAGACACTGAATAAGGCAGTTTTACATATAAAAAATAAGGGATTTTCCAACGCTGAATGGTCCTATATAGAGCAAGTGTTTGGTTTGTCTGTTCTGGGCTACTGTAGAAACACGGCGGTGCAACATGGCCATCTCTCTGGAAAAGGACTCGCTCCCTATGTAGATATTAACAGCTCATTTTAAAGCCCAGTTCAAACAAAAGATTCGCAACGAGACGGGTTGAAACAGGCAGCTACTTGCAATGTGGCGTTCTGCAACGTTCTAAAACCTGCCAGTTCACACCAATGCAACCAGATGAGATGGTGTATCATCTCTATGCAACAACTCTCTGGACTTATATTCTGTTTTCCAGCTTTTCAGAATTATTTTGTGGCTGAATATAATTTGTAGCTTCTTAAAATATGAATGAGGATAGTGACGGTGAGACACTGGCTACAGCTGCATTTGTAGTAGTGATGAAACGTCGAAAAACAGAAAGAAAGCGAGCATCAGATGGACTGTATTCATAATAAATATGCCACAAAAACATGAATAACCAGCGGCAATTACTCAGTCAATGAGAATGAGTGTTTGGGGGGCATAAGCACATACAGAGCAGCAGCGACCTACCATCCGACACCGGCAGACCGTGAGGACGGAAACAGAGGGCTCGACAGGAGTACCTGTTGCCTGTTGCAGCAGGCAAACACGGCATCTGCTGTCATTTTTACTTGACCAGCGGGCTTCACTACAAGATGACTGGCTGTTGAAACAAGTGAAGTGCTTTATGTTCTAAAACCAGCCACCAGCGATTTGACCAGCTGAACTGCAGGTGACACCATAAGTCGGCTTGAGTCGAGCTCACACTGGCCAGAAAACGGTTTTGTCTCGTTGCGAATCATTGGTCTGAGCTGGGCTTAACGAAAACAGTTTTTATTTTCAGGTGATTATACACCGAGGAAAACAAACTCATTATATTATATTCCATTTTTGCCAATATGTCCCCCTAGATCCTACACACTGAACCTTTAAGACAACTAGATACTGTCCCATAAACATGCTTCATAGGTAGACTGGGATGGGAACGTAATCAGCCCTGAATGACAGCCCTACTTACTGCATCATTCATGCCATGGGTCAGGGGCTTGTCCTGGGAGAGGAGACCACCAGGTCCATCTGGGGGGTGGGAGAGCTGTGGGCCATGGATGAAGTCATTCATCGGGGGACCTCCTCCACCTCCTCCGACTCCACCACCAGAGGGGTTCCCGTGAGGGAAGTCAAAGTTCCCTTGGCTGTGGTAAGTGTTGCCTTGAAGGACAAAATAAAAGCACTTTTGTCAAAAGGCTAACTGCAGTTTGGCCTTGCTGACTCGTCAAATGAATCCTTACTGTTGCAAAAGTTATCTTTTCAAAGTGGTTACATAAGGGGATACACACAATCCACTTTTTTCCCTGTTATGAAACATTTATCAGAGCAATGTGCTTACAATATTTTCAAACAGGTTCAGCACAAAACTCTCCTTGGGGCTGTTGCTTTGTTTAATGCACCAGAGACACATCAGTGGTTCCTGCTGTAAAGTGCAAAACAGCTCACTTTTCCAACAAATGAGCTGACTATCCTGTTATTTATCTATGCAGTCTGTTCCTGGCCGCTTTCTTTACCTGCTCCAGGGTAATCTCCCCCGTTGCCACTAGGATGTTGATTAGGGTGTGGTGGGTAGGGGCTGGGTCCTAGTCCGGGGCCAGGTCCAGGTCCTGGGCCAGGCCCTAGCTGGGCGATCATCTCCATCACATTGGGCATGGTCATCTGACTGGGGCTCATGGTCTTAAAGCGCTTGGCAAGTGGCCCGTCAGGGTCCTCTTTTATGTGTAGCTCAGACTTGATGGGGACCGGTCGCCAGCTACATGTAGGGTCTATAGTGACCTCCTCAAACTCTGAACTATAAGAAGAGGAAGCAAGTGTTTAAATTTGAAACAATGGGTGGATTCAGCAGTGGTTTGGGTGGATTCAGCAGAACAAAGACAGGAAACTTACTTTTGGATGGCATTGAGGATTCCCCACATGTACTGGTCCACCTCCAGACCTTCTAATAATGCAGTTTTACTGAAATGAGAAAGAAATAATAGATATATTTCATTAGAGGCAGCCCTTGTTCGTAATCTCATCTCTCTTTACATCCAAAAAAATAAAGACATTTTCACGTACTTGCACACAGGACACCTCCATGTCCCCCTCTCACAGTTGAGCTGCAAGTAGGACTCCAGATCGAAGCACTGTGGACGACAACAAGAGGGTTAATCTCACATTCACACCAATGTGTGACACAAATTTCCATTAACAATTACCTTTTAACGCCTCTTTATATCTGAACTAACCTGGACATGTTTGCAGTCGTGCCCTCGTGCGGGTAGCTGGATGCGTCGGAAGGTAATGGGACATTTCAGCGACACTTTAATGGCCGTCTGCTCCACACCGTCTTCCCCGTTGAGAGTAGTGCTGCCCGCCGAGGCCGCCACGCTGCTGAAGTTCCTCTTAACTGCAAAGAGACAGCGTTTCAGAGGGAAGGTATTACTCTGTAAACACTTGCAGGTGTACTTCAGTACCTGTTTTAAAGCACGCCGTAAAGAGAAACAGGTGCGAGTTTGTGTAATTAAGATGTGCTTCGTATTAACTACTCCGATAGACAAAACGAGCCGTACCCTTGGTGATGCAGTGTTCTGCAGGAAGGAGTCTCTTCTTCAGGAGCCCCTGGAGGACGGATCGCACAGATGGCCTGTGGACCAGCTGCAGCACAAACAGGTGGGACTGCGAAGCAACACCAGAACATGAAAATAAACAAAAAATCAGCACATACACTGAGTAAAATCATCTGTGTGAGAATCATCCCAGTTGATTCCAGTTGAAAATTTAACTTCCATACTGTTAGTATTTACACATTGTCCTAATAGTGTGTACTCACACAACAGCAGGCGGTGACTGTAATCTGGATGGTGTTTCTTCCAGGTTGGCATACATGCTTCAGGTGCAGGGGTTTGTGGGAGGTTTTGTTGTCTCCCCTTTCGATGGTGAGGGGCGTGGCGTTGACGCTGACCTGGACGGAGGCGGGCCAGTTGGTGTTCATCTGCCTGTCTTCATGGTGGTAGCACTTAAACTGGAGCTCAAGGTCTGACCTATGGGAGTAAAATGACCAGAGAGGAGTCAGCGGTTAGCAATAATACTCAGAAAAACAAAGAACAAGATTCTGTGTGTCTGAGTTTCTGAGTAAAAAATAATATATGACAGGGTTGTGAAATGGAGGCCTGTGTGGTGGTCTTACCTCCACATGAGTGTCTGGTGGACGGAGGGTCGGAGGTGGAAGACGTGGTTACTGACAGCCAGGTTATGCTCCAAGCGGAACGGCTCCAGCACCACTCCGTCCCTGACTGGGAACGTCAGCCGCAGCTCCTCGTTGGGGTTAGCTGGGAGAGAAGATAAACAGGGGGTTAATCCTTCAATCTAACACTGGTGAAGTCACACACTGTGCCAGATAAAACAAAAGAGCACAAGGTCCCAACTGCTGGGGTACTCACTCGGAGGGGGCGGAAGTGCTGTCATATTTGGTTTCATGTCGGGTGGAAACGGGGGCTTCACATCCTGGTTTGGCGACAGGTACGGAGGAATACTACTTCCTGGGGTCATAGGGGGTGTGGGGTTTCCAGGGACCGGGGAGTGGGGGTAGTTTCCGGGCCTCGGGGGCTGTAAAAGGCAGGAAAAGTGCAGTAATGAAAACATCTGTATTTCACATACATAGGTCAAATGTAGCAGAAAAGTCTTACTAAAAACATACCCCGTTGCCTTGGCCGTAGGAGTATCCGCCTCCAGAGAAGTTGGTGCTCTGACCATTAAAGGGCTCTTGCTGTAAAGGCATAGAGAGCAATAATGATTTGATATAGATCCTTATGGCTCCAGGCATATACCAAGAAGTTTGGTCCAAAATGTGCTATAAATCTGACTAGTGATCTGCCTGCATGCTGGAATAGGCTCCGCCCCCTCTTCTGACCCTGAGTAGGAGTAAGTAATGTAGAAAATGGATGGATGGATAAATGGTGTGGCATTACAGACCTTGTAGTACTGGCCCATGGGCATGCCAGGTGGGTACTGTCCTTGGCCCTGCTGCCCTGGCATCCTCTGGCCAGGGTAGTTTGGAGATGGCAGCGGCCTGGAGGCGTTCGATGAGGGGTACTGGCCTTGCTGGGGTGGGAACTGGCTGTTTGGCCCGTACTGCTGACCCCCATAACTCCCCTGGGAAAGGAAAGTTAGGAAGAAAATATGTTTAACAATGTTAGGGCTCTATTTTTTCTAAAAAAATGTGCAAATGCAAACATAGGCAGAATCTCCAGGCCGCAGACGTTGGTGCAACATGAAAGTGAGGCTGAATACATTATTCATTGTTTAAATACAGGATCAGCAGGTGTAGTCGGGGTGAGCTTCAGTAATGACCAACCACATGAGCTCCTCGCAACCCCTTTATAGGCAGAAACAGGTGAAATTATGGCTAATTAAGTGGTAGGCTTAGTTGCTTAAATTTGCACTACTTGTTTAGGCTTTTTATAGTATTCTTGTCTTACAGTTTGGTTGATTTAACATGGGATATGTGCAATATTTTGTCTATTTTTATGTGTCCCAGTCATGTGATACCAGGCTTTCCACTGTGCATTATTTGTCCTTTGTTAATGTGTTGTATGTATTGAATGTCAGGCAGCTGTGTATAGCACTTTCCTTCAAGAGAAATTTCATTAGGGACAATTAAGTTTATCGTATCATATCGTATCGTATTGCATCGTATTGTATCGTATTGCATCGTATCGTATCTCATCTCAAATGCAGTGACAGTTCACCTCCATAATAATAATATAGATTATCTCAAATATGCTGTCAAAGGTAGAATGAGCAGGTAGCTTAATAGGTTGGTTATTTATTTAACGCAGGCTAATTAATAAATAATTAACATTTTAACTGTTGTTCTTTCCCTCCTCTGCATATTTGAAAAGGCTCATTTATGTTTTTAAAGTACAGTGAACATAAACGAGCCTATCTGCAAAATATCAGCCCTCATTTATCCAAAGAAAAAAAAATAAAAATATGCAAAAATGTTTACAAAAATACGCACATCCACAAAATGACATAAACTAGTCATGCCATGTTATCTTGAATTTGTAAATAAAGTTTAATTTATAAATGGTCAATTCGAGGGTGAAGTAATTAAAAACAAAGCTACTGAAGCTCGAAGCGTCACCTTGGTGATAATTACTGGGCGTGATTATTTATATCTAGTGTGTGGATTCTATTTTTCTAAAAATGAAACAGTCCTCAAATCTTTAAACAAACAAATGCAAAACAGGATTCATGTTGTCATGTTGGTGTGTTGCCAGGACATTACCAAACAGACACAGATGCAAAACAATTGACTTGTGAAACAAGTGTTGGCTTCAAGCCCGCAGGCAAACAGAGCCAGATTGTTTTAATCATCAGATCTAGTCTCCACTCACTTCCCCAGGATATGGCCTCTTCATCCCCTGCATGGGCATGCCCTGTCGAGGTCCTCCGGGATACCCTTGCTGAGGCATCCTTTGGCCGTGAGATCCGAAAGGTACCATGCCTGGGGTCCGAGCCTGGTTCATGCCCATGGGAGGCCCACTCATATTGGGGTTGTTCATGGCTGATCCCATGCTGGCTGGATTCATACCTCCAGGGGGGCCTCGTGGGCCTGGCTGGTTCATGAACTGGCTGTTGTAGGCCTGCGCAGGGCCCATTTGGAACGAAGAACACATCTGGAGGCAAAACAGAAGGTTTCAGTGTTTAATATGATTATTTTAGGTCTCCGGCAGGTGTTTGGATAATAGATTTCTGTGTGTTACAGCCTGTTTGGTGGTTACAGCTGTAAACATCTGTTAGCAGGTGTGTAGCATACCTGTCCATACTGGTTCATGTCTTTATTCTGGGTTTCCTGCAGAGCTGCCACCGTGGCCGTCGCTGTGGCTGTTGCCGTAGCAGCAGCAGCGGCGACAGCAGCAGCTGCAGCGGCGGCGGCTGGCTGAGTGAAGTCACCGGGAGGACGTGTGTGGGAGGTCAGTCCCATACCTCCTGGAGGAGGATTTGGGCCTCCAGAGTAGCTGTAAAAAACACAGAGCACATGTTGTAATCATCATTGTAAATTTTATTGCTTGATTTTTTTTTTTTTAACAAAGAGAGTCGTTTCCACTATCCAGTCTCTTACCTCCCGCTGTATCCCCCAGGACCTCCGGGGTAGCCAGGCCTGCCGTACATGCCCTGCTGCATGTACGGTTGGTTGGAGCCTCCTTTGTTTGGAAACTGTTGCTGCTGAGCACTGAACTGGGGTGAGTTGAGCCCTGCAGCGCTGGCAGACAGACCTGATCCCATGGGGTTACCTCCAGGGTTCATGGGGTTATTGCTATTTGCCATTGGGTTACCTAGCACCTGGATTTAACAAACACAGGAACATGAAATATCCTTCTTAGTCAAGCACTGATTGTGTGTCACAACTTATATGTTTGGAGACTTGATGCTGTTCATGCACGGACATACCTGACTCTGTGACGTGTTGGTCACGCCCCACACTGTTGTGACCACAGACAATGACCCAGGGGGCTGGTTGGTGTTTTGTTGCCAGGGGACAGAGTCATAGGGAAAGGATCCATCACTGGAAAGAAGATCAAAACAAAAACATGTGCCTGATGTCACTTGAAGTTTCAACTGGAAGCCAACCGAGTTGCATATTTGTCCAGAAATGTGAATAATTTGGGAATTCTCGTTGCCAACACGTTAGGCAATTTGAAATGTCTGGCGTACAATTTCAAAACATGCTTTTAGCCAGGGTATCTGCTAATGACTGCACAGTGAGATGAGTAAAAATTTCCAAATGAGCCGATGAGCCCGCACACACCAGTAGAAACTAAATGTGATTAAATTAATTTTTTCAGTGGTTGAGCGGTCGTTGGATATGGATAGGGAGAGAGCAGTTGGAATGTTTAACATTCAGATTTAAAACAAATATCAGGGCAAAATATGAGAGTCTGTTACATATAATAAACAAGCTAAATCCTCATGGGGAGAGGCAAGTGGCCAGTGGAGTGGGAAGGAACTGCTGTTTTTGGAGAGCAGCTTGTTTTCGCTCAGAGGTTAGCTCTTGGAATGGACGACTTGTTCAATATTTCCTCATAAAGGCACAGCATTATCCCAAGATCCTCAGCAGAGGCAAACAGGACTCTTGGCTAACTCCAGGCTTTGCTTTTTCTCCTTGTACTTCTTCGAGAGGAAGACATGAGCACACAATGTTCTCCAAAAACATTACTTCACAGCTCTCTTCCCTGCCGGTTTGTCCCTCCACCCCGAGTCACCTCAGCTCCTCTCACAGTGAGTCTGGCTGTCCTCCAAACAATGGAAATCCTCTGTGACTTGGTGTGTGTGTTACATGAGCATAAAAGAGAATTTCAAGATGATACCTTAATGAAGACGTGTTATTGCACCCTGTCTCTTAAAGATACTGAAGTGAATTACTTTGGTGCAATTTGTGAGAATGCTAAAAAAAATCTTTTTGTTTTCTTTCTCCTCTATTTGATTCCTATCTGTGGTTCTAAAACTTTTCACACCGTGCATCACCTCAGAAAATATTCATCTCTCCACCGCTATGACCAACATTAAAATATAGTACCAATGGAACCGTTCCGTACCGTCCCCATTTTTGGTCCCCCCTCTGTTGGGGTACCTAGCACACAGATCTGGTACTAAAAGGTGGAGCTGTGAACACTGCAGTCTGTTGATTGGTCAAGAGCGGACAGTCACTCTGCTCAGGCCTGAGTTGTGGCTGGTTTTGAGGCTCATGTAACCTCTGTTCATACTGTGGAGAGTTTTACATACTGTATATAAAATGAAAGGATGTTTTGCTGCCTCTTGCAGCAGCTGGAGTGGGTAAACTCTTCCACACAACTCTCATACACCGTAAGGGCCAGCCCCTCGTCAGGTGCTGTGGAGACTTCACTGGTGCCACTAGCACATACGGTCAGTTGATTGTCGTCCACTTTGTTTTCAAGAGGGCTGTTCAAACTATTCTCGTCCTGATCTGCACTTCTCTTCCCATTTGGAGTCAAAATTGTAGTGTTTTTACCCTCCTCACTTTACCTCCATTTTTTATCTTGCCATCACAGTTGTATCGCTTTATCTGTAAAGGACTGTTTCAAAAAATACCACCTTATTAATATTCACTCCTATGTCTAAGACATTATACTTCTAACACCCATTATAGTCAGGACTGGCTCACACCATATGTCTCTGCAGTAAATGCTAATCTTGGGAAGACAATATTGTAACGATACTTAAGTCACGGTACAATATTATTGCGATTTTAAATATGTTGTGATATGCTGAGTAATGTGATAAAATATACTGCAAAATATTGCAATTTTTTTACATTTGTTTTATGTAATAAGATAAAGTTTTCAGTCTGTTCATCTCACCTCATATTTTGCAGCAAAATGTATCTAATGGACTGAAAAAGCAATTGATTATATTATATTATATTATATTACTCCTTGTTATATCTACACCAAGGATATTACAAAATGTGTATTTAATCCTTGCTATGTAGTCCCCATTATTATATTAATTTTATTTTATTTTATTTTTATTTTTACTACTACTCTTGTCTCACTTGTAAATGAGATCTTCATATCAAAGTGACTTCTGGAATAAATAAAGTATATATACAACTAATTATGGACGGGTGCGCATTACAATCTTCGTGACTATGCAGCAGGCTGATCAATAACAAACTAACAAAAAATACAGGAAAGGCAAAACTTATTCTAAATCATATTCCCGGGATCTTATAGTTTAAGTTTTTTCATATGAAATGTTGTTGCATGTTTCTAGCATTATATGAATTTAAATGTATTTAATTTGTTGCAAATATTTTGGAGATTCCTCCCTGTTCCAATGGAGGGAGCTTTCGTACCACCTGCTGTACACCTGTAGTTTGAAAACCAGTGCTCCTCATCTCCCCATCTCCCTTCACACACACTTACCCACGTTGCCCATCTACACAGACACCCACCACGCCCACCCAGAGCATCTTGTCAGCTGTACTTTACAGACTGTTATCGTCATTGTGTTGTGTTAACCTCTGTTTATCCAGCTCTTGTGTAATGTTATTCCTCACAATAAAGAAAAGAAGTTTTTGTTGCAGAGTAAAAAAGCTGTACATCAGCTGTCTGTTGCACTGTGATTTTGTATTGATGTCTATAAAGGGCTTAAGTCGGGCTGACTGAGAGCTTATCTCACTGTTGGCTTCTTTCAGATGACTGCCTGCAGTAACAGACAACTGACAGATGGCACGGACAGGCATGTATCAGTCTGAGTATCAACGGGTGCAATACAAATTCAATCAAACAGAAACATTTGAATCATAAAAATGTAATTAAAAGTACGAGATGTGTGTGTGATGTGCACCACATTCAGTGGAGGATAACTAGAAGCAAATGGGTAGAAACAGCAGCATTAACCTAATTTATTCCAAAAGCAAGTGACTCATATCTGCCAATTCACAGCTGCACTCCTCTTATTTGATGCTGTACAGTTTTTCACCCTTCATACTCTTCTTTTTGCTGCTTTTTTAGGGATGCAGGGAAAAGCTTCATTTCACTGGTGAGATAGAAAAACAGTCACCTTGAACTGAATTCAAATCTGGGTTTACTGGAAGATAAGCAGATTCTTTATTCATCTGACAGGAGGTGTCACAGAGACTCCCCACTGACCTGTGTGTGAGGCCGGGCTTCATGCTGTTCATGCTGGGCTGCATGGGGACTTTTCCCTGCGGTTCGTTCTGCCGGCTCTTCTGGTGACGCAGCAGGAGGAGACGACCCAGCTCCTCGCACCACGACGACAGCAGGGCTGTAGGGGGAAACACACAAACACACATACATATGCACGTGCGTTAGTTTCTTCTCAGCACACATACACACACACATTTGCCTGCACGAGCATGCACTGTGTATCCATGTGGCGTTAAGTGCATGTTTACGGTTCTATGTGTGAACGATCACTTAGAAAACTGGATTTCTTGTTTCTATCTTCACACTTTCTAAATGTCAACCTCAAATTAATAGATTTACCCTGTCAGGGCTCTCGACAGTGAATCGTAGGCTTGTGTCTGCAGCCATCCAGCCTGCGGTTACTGCTAAAGCCTCCAGGGGGCAGCCTAACTCAATAAACCTGTGCTGATTATTTGCCTGTGTGGATTTCACAACAGTTACATCACATCATCTGTACCTGCAGTGTAAAATAAAAACTGAAATCTCTTAACAGCACAAAGGACCTCCCAGTTTTTCCTGCCACAGAGTGGGAGAGGCTGAAATGGAGCATGAGAGGCAGACAGAGACGGAGTGATTGGGGGTACAGATTCAATCTATGTAGCAAGTTAACCAACTGTGATATCTTCACTCTCATCCACTCATCATAATGACTTCATTCTTCTCCACACCTTCCACGTCCTCTCATATCTCTGAGGACTAATCAAACTGTGCAGCCTTCTCATCCTCTCCTTGAAGACAAGAGATATTTGTTTTGCATTCTGCCAATTTGATTTTCTTTTTTCCCCGATGCCAATCAACTTGTCGTTCTTGAATCGATCAGAGTCGTGTGGCTTATTTAAACACGGCGCCTCTTGATTGCAGAAAGTTGTCTCGACAAACAAACAGAAGAAAGGTTACAGTGTTCGCTACTTAATTAAATAATTTAACATGCTAAATTTATCCTTGTAGACCCAGATACACCAGGCTTTTAGGAAGAGCTGCTGTCAGGTTTGGGGGGTTTCAAGAACCCTTAGGAAATTTTGAGGGCTGTGAAAATGAAATTGGCATTGCATTGCAAGGATTTACAAGGCCGCAAACAACAAATGTCTGTCACAATGTTTTGCAAATGAAATGAAAATAACAAACCAAGTGTTGTGATTACGAAACTGAAACCTTGTTAGTGAGTGGGCTGTACCAGCTGCAACCTGCACGTTACGATACACCGCATCTTAAGTGCTTATCTGATCGGAGTTACCACTTGTTCGGACTGAAACCAACGACTATTTCCACTATCAAATAATCTGCCCTTTATTATCTCGATTAATCATTTTGTCAACAAAATGTCTAGTGACGCATTCCCGGTGTAATTTCCCAGAGCCCTCAGTGACGTCTTCAAACGGTATGTGAGCCAAAGATTCCAAAGTGATTCAGATTGCTATCATGTATGACAAACACGAGCATCAGAATCTCAGATTTAAGAAGCATGACACCACAAAATGTTTGCTTTTCTGCTTTAAAAATAACTAAAGTGATTATTTCATGATCAAAACAGTTGCCAATTGGGGCGTCGGTGGCTTAGTGGTAGAGCAGACGCCCCATGTATAAGGCTGTTGCCGCAGTGGCCCGGGTTCGACTCCAGCCTGTGGCCCTTTGCTGCATGTCACTCCCTCTATCTCTCCCCCTTTCACACTTCGCTGTCCTATCAATTAAAGGCAAAAAATGCCCTAACAAAAAAAAAAAAAAAAAAAAAACAGTTGCCGATTAATCTTCTGCTGACCGACTAATTGTTGCAGCTTCACTACTTATACAGACAAACAGAAAAGGAGAGGAGAGAAGGGAGGAAAAAAGCAAGGAAAGGAATGTAGAACAAAGCAGAGCTGTAACATTTTCTTCTGGAGGGTGGAGAGAGCCAAGCCTCCTAGTTAAAGAGGAATTATTCCACCCTGCCATTACGGAGGGCTTATCTCCCCACTAAATCACCACCTCTGCACCGAGGGACTGTCTCTTCAACTGGCAACCCACCATTTAGACCTAAAGATCAGCTCCGAGCACAAGTGATGGAGTCCCTCTGAGAGGGAGAGAAAGAGAGATAGAGAGGCAGAGAAGAAAGCAGAAAGGCGGCGACTTATCATATCAGTGTGGCTACAAGCCACCGAATCTAACAAGCTGCCGAGGCCAGAAGTCATTCATAATAGAGCAAGGGTCCGCTCTGAGCAACGTGCATATTTAGCGAGCTTAGGACTCCATTCGTGACCTTGTTTTCACCTCGCAGTCCCCCGTGTTAAAACCCCTGCCAACACCATCACACACCCGCAACTGCTTGGCACGGAACACGCTTCTCACATACAAGACACACCCACATTCTTCAGCCTTTTTTTTTTTTTTTTTAACTTGTATTGTGATCCATCTGTCTACACTTTTATTAATTAAGATGTTCTGTTAACTTCACTAATGGAGAACAAGAGGAGCGGATGCCAAGAGCGCAGATGATCGAGCCAACAACAACGGGAAAAAAAGAGAATATAAAAGCAAGGTCTCCATCTCGTTACACCTCTTTTGTTTCTCCTCTTTTATCTTCCCATTTATTCCCGTTTCATTTCCACTTGTAGTTAAATCAGACACTTTGTGCTGAAGGCTCCAGCAGCTACCTGGAGGAGATGCGCCAAGGTCAAGTTATTTGTTAAAATCTTATTCACTCTACAGTCTTTACATCGTCGGCCTATACAGTCATGTAATAATGCAGAAGTAAAAAATAAATTAACTGAAGAGTTACATGCTACATGATAAGTTGAATCAACGTGAACCTAATTCCAAGAGTTTCTATCCCAAGATTGATTTACAACATCATAAAAAAACTCTGGTTCATTCAAGCAAATCTGCAACAGGCGAGATCAAAGACATAGCTCCGTTTTTGGGTAAAACTTTTCCTCCTCACACGGTGTGGGATGAACTGAAGGATGTTTTTCTTATGTCTCTGCATGCAGCATGAATGTTAAAATGGTGAGTTTAACAGAGCTTTGCCCAAACACTGGATATCCAGAGGATCAAGTAGCAGCTCTGCAGAACGTCAGAGCTGCTTGATAAAGTGTTGACACGACAGTTTACAGTTGGGTAAGAAAGCGGAGAGATTGTAGCTACAGTATGAAACATTAGGCTTATCGGGAGCTCGTGGCGGTGTTGCCTGGAGGCACGTTCTCCAGCACTCAAGAGTTTGGAGTTGTTAGTCTAATATATCAGTTTTTTCTTCCTAAGTACTCACAAAATCGTCTGGCTGTTACTGTATATAAAGTGTGTTGTGTCTTTGTTTTCATTACTATTTAATTATGGAAATTACATCATAGTTTACTTAGACATGCCATCCATTGGAGAAGTTTAAAGGTGTGTTTCGCTGCCTTTAAGAGAAGCTGCTGTTGATCCTGGAGAAATCCGGTAATTGAGTTTATCTAGGCTAATCTCACCATTCATACCTTTAAAGTGCAAGTAAAGACTTTAAAATGCACTCATGACTGCGCAAGAAGTGAAACTTTCCCTTTAAATACATGGATATAAACAGAGTTATTGCTGTGGGTGACTGATGTCTACAGACTGCAGTGACACTCGAGCCTTAAGGGCCATCTACGCCAAGTAACATAACTTCAACAACAAACTGAGCATAGCGTTAGTTCAGACAGGACACGATGTCAAGCTCAGCTCACATCCCAGCTACATCCAATCAACTGATGGAGCAGCTGATTGATGGAAGGGAGTCAGCAGATAGATCACATGATTCCTTTCTATGCAACCAATTGGTGAATCTCATTCAGGGCGCTCTATTTAAACTGCTCTGGCCTGCCTACTGTTGCTGCTTCAGCCTCTGCAAGCTGCTTTGCAACCCGCCTCCACCCCAGCTCCTCCTTTTCATGCTGTGACTGACTTATCAATGTCATCTCTCTGTCACTGATGCTGCTCTGTTCTGTTCTCGGGGGGTCTTTACTGCTGCTCTCCATGGAAGGGCAGGGAGGTTTGCTCTCTTTGCCTTCAGGCTTTCCTTGTATGCACGTGAAAGGGCAGAGAGGTGTGCTCTCTCCACATTCGGCTTTCCATGTAGGCGCGTGGAAGAGGCTTTCTGTGTAGGCCCGAGGTAAGGCAGAGAGGCCCCAGAACAGAGCCATACCACAAAATATAACACTGCAAATGGAAAAGTTTTCTTTGACTAAAGTGTTCCTGACTGAAGTATAAATATATAACTCAGTTGTATGGTGGAGTCCACACCACAACTTTAATGACAACAGTGGTGAAAGTCATTTTCAGAGAGATCTGATAAGCTATAGACACAATGACGGGCAATCAAAATTCATCCAAATTCACATGACCTCACTTCCAACATGGCAGATATAATTGATAAAACAGTCTTTATAAAGATGTTTTAAGAAGAATGACATCGGGGATGCACTCTGGCGCACCCTTGGAATCAGTGATAACCGTCTTGTTATTATAACGGGAATGCAGAGATGTTTAAGAATAGCTAATACTAGCTGGTAGGCTATCTAACAGTACCTAAAGTAGACTAATAACAACAATACCACCTCCTTTGAAGAGAATGAACCCCTCATGGATATCACAATAGTTTCTATCAAGCACAAAATATATGCTGCTCTGTTTTGTCCTCCACCATCAGAACCTGGGCTGACCCTCTCCCAACAGCTCTATTTCTTAGAAGCTAAGCCTTTTAATTGAGTAATGCCCGGAGACATATGGGCCCTCCTCAATCAGGTTGTATTTAATGCTGTATGGCTGACTGATAGCAGAAGCCCTGGCTCGTTCTCACCTCACCTCAGCCCCTCTGGGAGCAGCACAAAGGGAAAGTAAGCTCTGGTAACAGGCTGCAAGGCCCATTAACTAATGACAGAGTGTGTGTACAAGTCCTCTTTTACAAGGAAACCCCGATGCTAATTACTATGAACTCTGATAGTGCAGTGTGTGGGCACACGTCTGTGTGTGGTAGAAGCCTGCGAGTACTTGCCTCAAATTGTGACAGATTGCTAACTATCTGATTGTACAACACTTTGAATATGTGCACCCCAATATAAATCAGTGAGCTGGATCCTGGTGGCCCTGCTTTGTTGATACACACCTGATAGGATAAAGCGTGAAGCCACAGATCTGCCACATACACGAACCATCAGGACTGGGAAGGAGACACCCTCACCTTTACATGAACTGTGTGCCCTTTAGCAAGATAGTTAACACTCAGCTCTTCCAATGAAGCCAGAAGCAGAGTATCATTGTGCTGGACAGTTTCCAGGCATGAATTACTGAACAAAACGTGTTATATGACTACACAGGGAAACATAATTTTTAGCTTTGCAGAGCAATTGGCCTATAGAGCAGAGAAGAACTCGCTAACACGGCCCTAATTTTGTGCCAGTGCATGTCAAATGCCAGCAGTAAAATGAACTCCACACACCGAAATGGCATTTTCAGTGGGTGAAAACAGATTTTATTCTGTCCTGCAGCCTATCAGCAATTTTGTAGCTCATGACATCCCCTCAGCTGAAAGGGCAGCAGAGCTCACCGAGCACGAAGCACAGTGCAGTTCTGGGAAAAAAAAAACAAAAAAAAGTCCAACCGTGTCTTAGTGCAAATGCTAGTGTTCCAGACTGCTTTCATGGCTTTGGCTGGTAAAGCTGCACAGGCACTCCAACGCAGCATGAACACATTTCAAGTCATAAAATCCCTTCAATATGACAAAGTGTGGAAAAAAACAACTAAACAAATTAAAAGTAAAGTCCTTAATTGGCCTTGGGATTATATGGACTACAAAATTATGTGTATTTTGTGATTGTATATTGTAGATATACATATAGAATGTCATAATGTCCCCCCAAAATCACTGTCAGTAGCAGCATATGGAGTCCTTGACCACAAATGTGCCAGTTTGAGTGTATTACCAAACTCCCTGTACTGCTAAAGTTTTTTGTTTTTTTTTAAAGCATTTACAGACTTGTTTGTTTCCCCCAATCAAACACAACAAAAAAGGCGACACTCAAGTAGTAATAGAATAAAAAGAATCAGCTCATGTCTTGATCATTTGGGTGTGTTTACTTAAAACTACTTGACAGACAAAACTGCTGATGAGTTTTCGAGCCGTCAAAGCCTTCATCAGAGTGCTGTCTTGTGCCACCTTTTTTTTCATGAATTTGTTTTGGGGAAACAAACACATTGCAGCTTTTTTTGTTGTATTTTTTTTTAACACACTGCACCCCACTGAATTTCAGCTCAGGAGAAGTGCACCTGGTTCCTCTTAAAAATGACTCCGCAATATTAAATCGTGATATTGACATGGCATCAGTGATATGTTACTGATATCGAAGGCCTTGGCTCTCTTATCGCATTATTAAATTTATGTTCTAGGCGCTACACTTGAGAAACCTCTTGTAAAGAAGACATTACAGTTGCAGCCTCATTTTGTTTGAGTGATAACACAAAGCAAAGATCGGTGGCGATGAATTGCACTGAAGAGGTTTTGTGAAACTGAGTGGTAAAAGAAGATCTTTCATGTCCGTGCATAAACTACTCGAGGTTGCTACTATGCATGCTTTACTTGCAGTTTTATGTAGTCTGGTTTGCACAAAGGTCCATATAGATGTTTGTGCATTGTGGTAATTATGCAAGACTTAATCAGTCCAAACATATTAGCTACATCTTCAGAAACGTTGCAAATCCCTGCCCTTATAGTGCTCATCCTTACATCACCCCCAATCCTGAAATTACCAACAAATCTGGCTGTCACGCCAAATTCTGATCGCCAACACTGGACACGCCAGGCTTTGATAGAGACATGTAATACCGTGCATGCAGCTCTTCTGTAGTTTTGTTGATAACAACACAGACAAAGGAGGAAATACTACATGAAAAATTACACTTTCTGAGCATGAACACTGCAGCACTAGACAGAAGCCTTCTGAGACAATGTGTGGGATGATAACAAAGAAGCAATTTATAATAGATATCATAGGCAGAGGTCTGTAAAACACTGGCAGGTAGGTAGGTCTGTGCTGTGTGGGTACAAAGTATTATGCAAAAAGGCGAATATGGAGGGGATATAAAATCCTGCGAAATAAAAAAATAAAAAGTCATGCGTTTTGCAGAAGTGTAATGGAAGCCATTTAAGCAGTCAATGATATCCCCCATCCTGCCCCCTCTCTGTTCAGCCAACTTCTTCCAAGAGAAGAGCATATCAAATGGGCTTTAGTCTCAACAGCTTAGAGGCAGAACAACTCAAACATGCCCTGCAGAGAGGCAGCTCTGTGTCAGAAATCACACTCAACCAAAACCAGGCCTTTAATGTAACTAACTGTTCACACGGATCAGAATATTCCAAATCTGAAACGGCCTCTAACGTCAAATGTGTCACTTATTTTATTTGCTTTCTAAATTTTCTGTATTTTTTTTTTTTTGTTTTGTTCGCATTGGTGAAACAATGCAGTTTTCTTGTCTGGCTGGTTTGACAGAATTTCATCCACGACCTCTGGCAGTACACCAGACACGAGGACAGAGGGGGGGAGAAGATGGATGGAAGGATGCTAGACAGAGGACAGGTGGAGATGGAGGGAGTGGGCAGGTCCCCTCCTCCCCAGGATGTGTGTGGGTCACAAGCCAAAGAGATGCTGCAGCCCAGAAGGGAGGGTAGCTCTACCTGAGTCACTCTGACATCTCCTGCAGGTGCTGGTTTCTGTGGGGTTCAAATTACACATTTTTAAACGGGGCAGAGTTATAAGAATCAGCATGAACACCAAACATAATGCAGTATGACGGCTGGAGCTGTCTAAACTGGTGCAAAATGTCGGAGCTCAGGTGGGAAATGTGGGATCTCTCCGTGTCGCATGTGGCCACAAAAAACAACAAACACAGTCTGTTACATTTTTAATGTACTGAGGGGCGTGCCTAGTCAAACTGAGCTCACTACGAAGACTTCTTAGTATAGTATTTACTGCCACTTTAAATGGTCAATCTCATGAGTCAGATATCTTGATCTGTGTGCTGTTACACTATGAGTCAAGTACAAGAGACAAGAATGAGGATGCAGAGCTGATATCCTTTGTATATTACTTATATATTTATTTCAAAATGTATTTAGGAAAGAAATGAGTGGTCTTTTTTGTCTGTTTTCCCACATTTTTTATTTTCTCAAACACACTAACACCCTAAAATACTCTCTATTTGAAGACAAAAATAAAAAATGAATAAATAAATAAATAAATACATACATAAATAAAAATTAAATTAAATTAAATTAAATTAAAATTAAAATAAATAAAATAAGTAAAAACAAAGCACACCCTAGTCTGAACTCTTCCCTATTTCCTACAAAGTCTCTTGACATTAGGGCTGCAGTTAAATTTTTTTCTTTTTATTATCAATGAATCTGCCAATTATTTTCTCAATTATTCAAAAATAGTGAAAAATAGCCTTCACAATAGTTAACTTAACTACTAAATTACTACATTAGTAATAAACCATCCAAAACCCCAAAATCCTGTGTTTAAAATTATATAAAACAAAGAAAAGCGGAGAAATTAACAGTCAAAATATTTTGCAATTTCCTTGAAAATGACTTAAAGGGACAGTTCACCCCCAAAATCAAAAATACATATTTTTCCTCTCACTTGTAGTGCTGTTTATCAGTCCAAAATTGTTTTGGTTTAAGTTGCCGAGTGTTGGAGATATCAGCTGTAGAGATGTCTGCCCTCTCTCCAGTATAATAAAACTAGATGGCACTCGGCTTGTGGTGCTCAAAGCGCCAAAAATTACAGTTGAGAAACTGAACAGCAACGTCTCTTTCCAGAAATCATGACCTCGTTACTCAAGATAATCCACAGACCTAGTTGTGAGCAGTTTCACGTAGGAACTATTTTCTTTTAACCAAACTACACCCACCAACCGTATCACTGCGCAGAAGGAAGCATGCATCTACTGCTAGCTCACTTAGCACCACTGAGCTAGCTAACATCACAGCTCAGTCGAAGAGGATGCCACTGTTACGAACACCAACTCTCATCTATGAGTAGATGCACAGTTCCTTCTGCGTGGTGATCCAGTTGGCAGGTTTAGAACGAAAACAGTTTGAAAGAGACATTGCTGCTGAGCTTTTTAAATCTATGTGTTGGTGCATTACAAGCCAAGTACCATCTACTTCCATTATATTCAAGAGAAGGCAGACATCTCTACGGCTCAAATCTCCAACACTCTGCAACTCACATCAAACAATCTAGACTGATCAACAGCACTTCAGAGAAGAGGAAAAATATGTGTTTTTGATTTTAGGGTGAACTGTCCCTTTAAAAAAATAAGCAGTTATCAAAGTAGTTTCAGATTAAATTTGATCTCCTTTGACTTATCGTTGCAGCTTTACTCGATGAGGTACTGTTTTATATCCTGTGACGCCAGCGTATCGAGTGACATAACAGAATATGTCGGTAACACAGCGCTACAGGTTTGCTCTGGGTGCATTTGTTATGACAGGGGTTATGGCATTGACCTATGGATTTGACCTACATCCTCGCCGGGATATGAAATTCAGGTGGCTGGTGTATCTGCGTCAGATGTTCTGTGAGTCAGCACGTCCTGCTTACAGTGTTAAGCCCCGGGGTCACGCGGCCTTCCACATCTGTATCAGAGAACTGTCACAACACTCACAGTGATCCTACATGTGATCACACACCCATTATCCACATCTGAGTCACACACTGTGCAGCAAATATGCAAACTCAAAGGCATTTGAATGCAAACAGGGAAATAAACATTCAAACACAGGTATGTGGGCAAAAGCAAATGTACAACAAGAGAGAAAAAAGTAAAGTAAATATGGAAACTGAGGTGTGTGTTGGTGAGTAAACAAACACAGTCAGTGCCTGGGCTGTGTGGAGATGTGCTTATACAGTAAAGCGCCTCACACGGCGAGGAAGAGCATCAGAGGACGGCAAGCTGTGAATGAACTGCTCTTATCAGCCACGCGCAGCTTCCCGCCACTGGAGGGGAACTAGTAAATATCACATGCCTAATTATAACCAGACACACCACTTGTCTCAACTTCCACAATGTGTCTTTCATCTCACACTGTTGTTGCTTCAATGAAATCATTAGGGTGAAAAACACAATCAAGGACTCTGAGATTTCCTGCGGCTGCTGTTTTATAATATAAAACAGTGATTAAAAAGTGATGAAATTCCAGCTGTGTCCTTTTTTTTTTTTTTTTACACAGGTGAATTAGTAAAGAAAGAATTTCTCAAGATGTCAACACACCTCACTGAATAGACGTGGAAGTGATTAACAAGACTCAAGAATTTTACAAGTGTTTCCGGAAACACATCCTGCAAGAATCCTGCGTAGCCCGGGGCGCTAAGAGCTCCACCCTCGCCGCTATCAACGCATGACATCAGTTTGTCCTACCAGAAATTCCTCTCTCTGGAGTCTTGAGCAAAAAAAAACTCTCACACAACTTTACTTTGCCACTTGCTCTCAGTGAGAGGAGGCAGGGATGTCAAGCATGGCGATGTTTCACAGAAAAAGCAGAAACCATTTGCAGAAAGGAAAAAAAAAAAGCTGCACATTTACAGTTCAAAGTCAAATGTCATGAATGAGTCACTAAACAGCCTGATGGGAAGTGCTCAGAGTCACTGCAGGTCACAGAAGTGTGTAGAGTAAACGATACAAACAAAAAGCTTTGGGGCCAGAGAGAGAAGAGGAGGAGGAGGAAGGCCGGGGGGGGGGGGGGGGGGGGGGGGGGGGGGGGGGGGGGGGGGGGGGGGGGGGGGGGAGCATGTGGCTGTGAGGTTGAAGATGGTTTCAGCGGTTAACACCCTGTACAGGCTAACAGGAAGTGCTGCAGCTCCACAACAACTCACTGGAAGTCGTGTTGTGTTGCTGTGCTCTCTACAAGGGTCAGCGGGAGATTGCGTTATTGTTCGCACAAGCCATTAAGTTGTCAGTTTTAAGGTTAAGCACTGATTGTACAGCCTGCAGCATCATGTCGCTTTTATTGCCTGACTGGCCTTTACTCATTCGTGTGAGGGAAGTGTTGTTCCCCTTTACGAGGCGCACGTTTGACAACGACAGGTACATTTAAGACTTATAAAACGCCGCTGGAAGAGTGAAGCAAAAAGCAGGCCTTTTCTGTGTGCTGCTGATGTAACTACATTGTCCCTCCATGACTACGCTCCCCCTCCTCCTCCTCCTTCGCCCCTTATGAGTGGACAGGCAGACAGGCTCTGGCTCCAAGCACAGGTCAACAACTTAAAAAAGAAGCCACAGTGGAAAAGTGGGTCATCTTCTGCTGACATAGCAACACATACACTAATGCACATACACTTGCACTCGTAACACGGATCCTTTAGGCGCCATAAATTGGGAGAAGTTGTCACTAGGACTCAAACAATGTTACATCAATAACAAAAATGGAAATGAGTGTGTTGTTATGGCATTTACATGTGTGTAATGTCAAAGAAACTAAGTGCAAACCGTCAAAATATGTTCAGAAAACTTTAAGAATTAATTTACAATTCAGTCTTTCTCCCTTAACCCTAAGCATGACCTACAACCCCCTTAAACTTACACCCCCAAGACAAACTTTTTTAACACCCAGCTCTGATACAAGACAACAGAGATAAACCAAAAATGAACTAACACACATATTAATATCTGCTTGTGCTCACAGACAAAAACCCAGTGAGAATAACCTCATGACAGAGCAGCATGTAGGTCAACCTGTGGTCAGCTGATCTGCCCTGATCCTGTCTTGTGTGAGCGTCCAGTGTTTCAGACTACAGTCACACTACAGCACAGCAGAAGAGACAGAAGCCGTGTTATTAAAGGCCTAAATTACAGTCGCAACAGACACAACACTGTCGAAGCACAGCTCAAATTAAACCTTTTGCATTTAGACTATAACAGTATACACTTTAAAGACCAGGCTAATTCTGCTTCAGTGTAACTGCATCATCTTAGACTTAAATTAGCCGCTCAATGGGCCTCTGTTAACTTCTGATCCTGCCCCATGCATGCAAACACACTCAAATAATACACAAAATAGTTGTGCAGGGATACACACGTGGACAGCAGACTCACACACGCACACACACACATGCACACAAACACTTACCCAGAGCCAAGCAAAGTCCCTGCACATCTCATCTTATTCCCTTCATAGCGCAGAGAAAAGACTCAAGTGTCACAAATGCTCAGGTTCCCGCAGAGGCCAGTGGCAACTCTCAAAGCTTTTTGCTTCTTCCAAGCCTCCTGCCTGCGCCTTATCACTCTCACTCCCTGCACATATCCCTTACTCTGCTCACTCTTTCTTTCTTACTTCCTCTCTCCTCCTCCTCCTGTCTTCCTCTCGTCTCTTTCTTTTGCTCACTCTATTTCTCCTCCCTTGCTCTCTGATCTGTCTTTTTCCCTTGTCCAGCGTCTGCACAATGCACATCAATTATTCAGAGGCAGTCTCCCGGTTTCTCTGGCTTATCCAATCAGAGCGGGGCTCCGCACTAATGGGCTCCTGCTGTACCTGCTACCGGCTCCAACACACTCTCGAGACAGCAGCGGGGGGGTAGGGTGGGAGGGGAGGGAGGGAGGGAGAGAAATAGACAGAGGGAGCAGAGGAGACAGCTGAAAGAGGCGGGAGGATGAGAGGAAGAGATAAAGACAGCGAGCCGACGCAGACAAACAGGAGTAGAGATA